AGGGTCGGGTGCTGCCACGCGTGCGTGCGTGCGTGCGTGTGTTGTGTGCGCGTAGATGAAATAAAGTGATAAAAAAAGAAATGGAACGAAAAAAAACGGAAATAAAGTCGAAGATGTGTCGTGTACACACGACAGAGGATAGAATGCGGATGTCGAGATTGATTGAAAGGACAATCGCAGTGATGATGATGATGCGAATAACGTCTGGGAGTGGATGGGCACGCGAGTTTGCGACACGTCGGACAGACAACGCGGGCGGTTCGTTCGTTCGTTTTTCTTTTGGGGGGGGGGGGAGGAGCAGGAGGGAGGGTGTGTGTGGGTGGTTCTTGCCAATGAAAGGGGAGAAGGGAGGGGAAGATGCGAATAGTGCGAAGCAAGGAAGGTGCAGTACACAACAAGAAAGGGGGAGGCGAAAAAGAGAATAGGGCAGACGGGGAAGAAAACGAAGAGAGGAACAGCAATGAATTGAGAGACGAGCAGGATATGCTTCTTCAGACACTGGCCAGATTGTAAAAGGTGGTGGGTTGTGGGATAAAAGAGATGATCAAGTGAGAGAGACGAGGTGTGGCCCTGGTTTGGGGGAGGGGATCGAGAGGAGGAGCCCGGCAGAGGAAAATGGGCTAAAAAGAGAGGCACACAGGCAGGTACGAGGGGCGGTAATTATGGAGCAGGTACGGAGTGTTATTGACAGCAATACGGAATACAGACTATACGTACGGAGTATTTAATTGTTCGTATAAATTCGCGGTCTGGTAGTCATAATCGCTACAATTAATAGTAGCCGTGACTGATGTAGCGAATCTAAACGGAGTATGAACAGATCGTACGGAGCGAACAGTCCATGGTACACATGCACTGATAGTAGCTTGATAGTCACGGGCGCGGGTTAAAGGAGTTCGGAGTCGAGGGGAGAGTGGCATTTTCAAGATGGACGAAAGGGAAGAAGATGGTGTATGGCATGTTTGAGCATTGCAGTAGCCACAAGCCACAAATGAGTATTTGATAGGCTGTTCCATCCAGACAGTTGGCTTTTGCACTTTTGAAAGACCTTTTTATACGAACAAAGATCAAAGGCTATGACTCTGACTCCGTACCTATATTTCTATACCCGTACTCGTACTCCCGTACCTGTACTAGTTGAGTTAGTATTACCTAGTGGTAGTTCCCATGAGGATCCCTTCTCCTCCTCCCACTTGACGTGCTCTTTGGAAGACGGCCTTGTTGAGACTCGTCTGTAGCCCTCCGTTAAATCCGCTCTCTCAACGGAACAGCGTCATCGCCCCGCCGCCACTACGGAGAGGTAATTCCGCTATCGCAGAGTACGAGAATCACTAGCAGACTCTCACGTAGATGTGCAGTAGCCCTGTTAGTCGCGCAAGTCACGTAAATTACCACTCACACACAGAACCTCTCTTCCATAACTGGTACCGTCGTATGACAGGGAAAATGTTCCCGTCAATCTCATGATTTATTTACCATGGTATTATCCCGCCCTCCGTATCCCGTTATTATATACCACCCTTGGACATAATACAGGACAGCGGCCAGTGGGACACACACACACACACACACACATACATCAACTGGCAACACACCCATCATCATCCCTGTACCGTCCATCACTACGACGTCCTCAACTTGTACTAGTGCGAGACACCCCTGTCCCTTATTAACCGAGTACTACGATGTAATAATACCATCGTACCCCTTGCTTTGCTCCGTCGGCGCGTCCACAGGCGTCCCTCTCTTCTCAGTTCTGGTCTTCCTCCCCTCCATTCCAGTCCGACCCTCAGGGGTATGGAAGGCTCCCCACCCCCCCTTCTCTCCCGCCGTGGACTGTGGCGCTGTTCTGAAAACTCCGGCCATGAGAGACAAAAATCGAATGGTTAATTAAACGGCATATCCAGAGTGGAGGGTACGAGTACGACTGTGTCATATCTGCTGTCACGGTCTACTAGTCAGGCCCCCCCCCCTCCCCCCACACTGGCAACGGAGGGCGTACTCTGCCTATCAGTTGGGGCGCGAGTGATAACTGCCGCACCAGGTGAAACGGCTGGCCCTCCCTCAGTTGATGATGAGAGAGTCCTCGATGCACGGTTCCCGCAGAACCGAATAGAAATAGATGCATTGTATCAAAACATGCTCCACGATGATCACACTGAGTTTCCATAGATAATGAGAGTAATACTAGTACATCCACCTTGCACCACGCTAAACGTGGGCTGGGACCAAGGGTTCCTGCTCTTCTTCTCCAGGATTGATGCTACTCGCACAACTCGTACGAGTACGAGTATATGTATTATTAAATATATACTATGTAGCAGTAATATTACTCCGTATTACTCGACGTTCGCGCTCGGTATTAATACGATATATAGTACGGAGTACTATACACGTACAAGTGAGCATGTACGAATACTCCTCGTAGAGTCTACAGATAGAAATGATGTAATTGTAGCCCCCACACTTGCTTCTCTATATCCGAAGTTTTTCCGTGGGCTTTACTATACTTTCCTACGTAAGGAATAATACGAGTAGTGGCAGTAGGTAATAGCTCTCCATCCAACGCGTACCGTTCCCTCGCCAAGAGCTGTTAACGATCCCCCATCACGACGACTGTCAGACTCCGTGCCAACAAAAATGTCTATGCGAACGGCTTTCCGTCGTACGGCAACTGTCGCTGCCGCCCGCCCAGCTTTCGCCCGCGGCTTCCACGCCTCCCCTCGTACCCTGGTCAAGGTTGGCGACGAGATCCCCGATCTCGAGGTCTTGCACGAGGACTCCCCCGGCAACAAGGTCAACCTGGCCGAGGAGTTTAGCTCAGGCGACGGATATATTGTCGGCGTGCCCGCTGCCTTTTCGGGGACCTGCTCCAGCAGCCATGTGCCCTCATACATCAACAGCCCCAAGCTCAAGGATGCTGGCAAGGTGTTTGTCGTCTCTGTCAACGATGCGTTCGTGTATGTTGCCTACTCCCCTTCTGCTCCTCTCAATTGCATCCTCCTCCATCCACTAACAGATCGTATTACTCCCGCATAGCATGAAGGCTTGGGCAGACCAGCTTGACCCTGCTCGCCAGACCGGAGTAAGTTGGGTCCTCATGTCTCCTTTCTCAAACATTTTTATATCTTGGCGGGACCTGTACCGTATGGCTGACCCATACAGATCCGCTTCCTCGCCGACCCCTCTGCCACATTTACCAAGGCCCTCGACCTCGACTTTGACGCCTCGGCCATCCTCGGTAACGTCCGTGGCAAGAGGTACGCTCTCCAGGTCAAGGACGGCAAGGTCACGGCTGCCCACGTCGAGGCCGACAACACTGGATACAATGGTGGGTCGTTATTCCGCTCGCAATCATGGCAACAGCACCCACAAGAGTCGAATATGCTGACAGTGAAACGTACAGTCTCCATGGCCGAAAAGGTTCTCGAGTAGCCATGCCGGTGATCTGGACGATGTCGGTGATGGCTTCGATATGAGACAAGCAAGGCAGGCACGTATCCGGCACAACGGCAACAGACAGGGTAGGGGTGTATGTTATTACTATACGGAAAAATACGAGTCAAACAATATTACAATACATGATTGCCTAATGCTACTTACTCTATAATAATCTTTTTTTTGTGTCAAATCTCTGTATAATATGTATGCTGTGACTCATGTATTTACATTTACTCGAACCTGTATTACCCGAGATGCAGACAGCACCGCGAATTATTAGTCAGATCTGATAACCGGGGAATCTGCGGATAACAAGAGCACGCCGACCCCGCAGGCTCGACTGATAAAAGAAGAAAGAGGGAAAAAACGAAAGGAAGTCTTCTGGTAGGGAGCAATATAATGGAGATAAATACTAAAGGCAGAAAAAAAGAAATTCGAGATCAGAGAGATGACTAATAAAAGACCACACAGTGTAAATAGCCCCTCGAAGGAAGCGAAAGAGTCCCAATGGCCTGTAAGATACTAGAGGGAAAGAGCAAAGGCCAAGCGAGGGGCCGTCATCATCCCGCTCGCCATCCTTCCGTAATCGTCGCCGTACAACCTAAACACACCCAACCGCCTCTCCTCCTCCTGCCTCTTTCCCCTCCCTCACCTCTTTCTCATCACCCTGTCATTCTATCTCTCCCCCCCCGGCTCCCTGTCTATACCTTGTTCCTTTTTCCCCCTGCTTATCAGGTAAACGCAGAAGAAGAAGAAAGACGGAACAGATATAGACAAAATCCACACCTACATCACGCAACGCCTCGTCATCATATTTGGCCGGATTCGGATCGTCACGGTCGTTGTCCCCCCCCCCCCAAAACCCAACCCAACCCACCACCACTACCACCGCCACCGCCACGATCAACACCAAGTCATAAAGCATATCCAGCCTATCTTATTCTCATAATCGTTTTCTTAGTAGAGGGCTGTTCGCTGCATCAGTCTCGTCAACGTCCTCTCCTTCCTTGTCTATACAAAAAGAGGAACACCTCGGACAAGAAAGAGAGAGAGAGCCACACACACACACACACACACACGAAGTCAGAACGGCGAGACCCGAGAGAGACGTCAAGTCATTTTCTCGTTCGATCACCCACTCGCTGTCGAGTCGCAGCCCCCGCCGCCAACATTTCCTCTCCCAGGAAGAGAAAGGCTGCTGAGGCGTCCATCAACTCCATCGACGGAGAACACGGTCCCCCTGGAAAGAGGGCCATCGCCTCAGCTGCCCGTATAACCGCTCCTCCGACCCCTGTCACGACCGGCATGGACTCTGAAGAGGACTTTATGTCTGCCGTCTCTAGCGAGGATGAGCTCATGAATGACGACAGTGGAGACGACGTGTCGGGGCCTGATGGTATGCATACCTTCCTCCCTCTACACAGATTCACGAACCCTTTCTGGGATGGCTGTCCTGATACTAACATGCCGGAGAAACAGACTTTGACGATGGCGACTTTGACGAACCCGATCCCGACTTCGGCATTAAGGACATTGAACCTGCCAGGAGGCAGGCACACGTTGTGCCCTTCAAGGTCTACGAGCCGTCCGACATCCAGTATCAGCAGGACGAGATGATCAACGAGGTCAACATGATACTCGACATACGCAAGGAGGATGCCGCCATCCTGCTCCGGTACTTTCGATGGAACAAAGAAAGGCTGCTCGAGGACTATATGGACCGTCCTGAGCGCGTGCTGGAGGCGGCTGGACTCGGCAGCACGACGACGAAGCCGCCGCAGCTGGAGCAGATTCCCGGCTTCGTGTGCGACATTTGCTGCGAAGACGGCGAGGACTTGAAGACGTTCGCCATGAAGTGCGGGCACCGATACTGCGTCGACTGCTACAGGCAATATCTGCAGCAGAAGATCCGATCCGAGGGGGAGGCGGCTAGAATACAGTGCCCGTCGGATGGCTGCGGGCGCATCCTGGACTCGCGGTCCCTCGACCTGCTGGTGACGGCAGACTTGGTGGATAGGTATCACGAGTTGCTGAACCGGACGTACGTCGAGGACAAGGATGTCTTCAAGTGGTGCCCCGCACCGGACTGCCCCAATGCTGTCGAGTGCGGGGTCAAGAGCACGAGCTTGGGCAAGGTGGTGCCGACGGTCGAGTGCCGGTGCGGGGAGCGGTTCTGTTTCGGATGCCCGAACTCGGATCATCAGCCGGCGCCGTGCGAGCTGGTGAAGAGGTGGCTGCGCAAGTGCGCCGACGATTCGGAGACAGCCAACTGGATATCGGCAAACACAAAGGAGTGTCCCCGGTGCCAGTCGACGATAGAGAAGAACGGCGGGTGTAACCACATGACATGCCGCAAGTGCAAGCACGAGTTCTGCTGGATGTGCATGGGCCTGTGGTCGGAACACGGCACGAGCTGGTACAACTGCAACCGGTACGAGGAGAAGAGCGGGTCCGAGGCGCGCGACGCCCAGGCCAAGTCTCGCACGTCGCTGGAGCGCTACCTGCACTACTACAACCGGTACGCCAACCACGAACAGTCGGCTCGGCTAGACCGCGACATTGCGCAGAAGACGGAGCGCAAGATGATGCAGCTCCAGACGGCCTCGGGCATGTCCTGGATAGAGGTACAGTACCTGTCGTCGGCCTCGCTGTCGCTCCAGACCTGCCGCCAGACGCTCAAGTGGACCTACGCCTTCGCCTACTTCCTGGCGCGCAACAACCTGACCGAGATCTTTGAGGACAACCAGAAAGACCTCGAGATGGCCGTCGAAAACCTGTCGGAGATGTTCGAGAAGCCCATTGCCGAGCTGTCCAATCCGACTCTCAAGGTGGACATAATGGACAAGACGTCATATTGCAACAAGCGGCGACTGATTTTGTTGGATGACACGGCAACGAATCTAGCTCAAGGTATGTTCTTCTTTCCATCTCGGTTTTTTTTTCTCTTACCTTTATTTGCCTTCCCTTTTATCTTTCTCTTTCTCTGTCTGTCCCTTCTCCGACTACTAGATTCGACTAACACATCATAGGTAAATGGGCATTCAACGAAGACTTTACCACCAAGACTCGTTGAAGAAGGTCATATCATATGCTCTACTACCTTTCTCTTTTTCTTTCCTTTTTGTCTTATTTTAACGAATACATGTCTTAACGCATACATATGCATCCCCCCTTTTCTTCCTCTTTCAAAATTCCCCATCGTATGAATTGAAAAATTCCAGTCTTATCAAAGAAGAGAACATGACAAAGCCGGATGGAAAAGACGTTGGCTGGTTTTTTCTGGTGTTGGCGTCTTTTTTTTTTTTTGTATTTTACATTTCGTTTTTTCTTCTTTCATTTTTATAAAAGGAAGAAAACCAATGATATAAATGGATTAAATGAATTGCCGTGTTGGACTTCTTTTTATCCAAAATTGTTTCTTGATACTTGACGAGGGTACATGACTAATGATCTGCTGGTATTCAGGAATGGCAATACTTGGGGGTGAACCACAAGCTGATATCCGGATGAAGATGTCTATAGTCATAGCAGTAGAGTTAGTATTCTTTTTTTTTAAAAAAAAAAAAAAAAGATAACAATAATCGTGAAAACATGTCGATAGTCGCCTCCACTTTGTAATCATGTCACAAAAAAATGTCAATGTCAGGAATGCACGGAGTACAAGAGTTGAATAAAACTGATTTTCAAAGTCTGAACGCCAATGCGATATCATATATGTATACATCCTCATCCTCTCCGACTCCCAAACTCCATTCCCTAACCGCTAAAATCATTTCCAGAATATAACAAGTCCAAAACAGGACTAGGATCAAGACTTGGGGAGAAACTAAATCAATGAAAACCCCTCAGAAGAGAAGAGAACAATGCTGTTCAACAGGGAGAACGCTAAACCTTAGAGAAGAAGAGGAAGGAAGGGAAGAAGAAAAGATTCAAGTCTACACCCTCTTAAATGAAAAACGGGACAGGTTCAACTTGGTCAGAGGCGCAGCCTCCAATTCGGCATCGTCCCCTTCATCATCCTCGTCACTGTCAGGGACGATCTGATCCTCACTCCCTCCGTTCGACCTGTGAAGAGCCTCGAGCTCCTTCAAGTCAACCTTGGGAAGCGGCACAAACGACGGGTTCACGGGCACATCACCCACACCCCTGGGCTGCTGCTTGGAGGGCGTCGTCTTTCGGGGCTTGGGCGAGTACGATGCGCTCAAGGCCCGGTTGCCCAGACGCTGCAGGGGCGTGGGGCGCACGCTGCTGATGCCTGTGGATGGGGCCGTGCCCGGCGTCGAGCCGGCGCTGAAGACGGATGAGACGGTCGATGTCGCCGCCGATGCTGGTGTGTCCGGGGCCGCTGAGTTGTATGAGAAGCGCCTGATGTTGGTGGATCTTGAGGGAGTGTGGGCAAAGGCCGACAGTCGGCTCGTCGACTTGGGAGGTGGCATGGCCATCCTGTCCGGGGACGGAGAGAGCTGCTGCTGCAAACTGGCTTCAGGCACCGTCTCCCCAGCGGCCTCCTGACTAGGTCCCCGACTGCTGCCCTGGACACCGACGTCTTGGCTCGACTCGTCAAACACAGAAATCGGCTTGCCACACTTGGGCGATCTGAAACCATCAATGTCGGGCAGATTCACGAGTGCTTCGTTGATGGAGTCGTCTGAGAGCAGGTATGCGTCGCTCCTTGCCCTGCGGGGACTCCTCCTCGTGGGCTCCTTGGCGCCAAAGAACTTGCTCTGCTTGGGAGACCCGTCCTGCTCAGCAGCATCCTCACAGAGCCGGGCCTTCTTGGGCGGCCTAGTCTGGTTCTCCGTCTTCTGAAGGGAGCTTGGAGCGCTCCCGCCAGTCAGGTTAGTGGATATCGGCTTCGAGGGCTTCGAGTTGTGGCCCATATCCGACAGCATGTTGGAAATCGGCTCGGTGCGGCGCCTGTGGATCCTAGGTGAATTTCGTGTAGGTCCCGCATCGGGACGCCTCGCGCTTCCCGATGACGGGAGAGTGCTGGGCTGGTCCAGGTAGGGTCTTGGGAGGGGGAAGACTCTAGGGACCAGGCCACCGTCGGTCAGCTGGGCTACGCGCTCTGGATCGACAGCGAAGCAGTTCGTGTCCATGGAGCCCATGGGAATGCGCTGGTGGCTCTTGAAGTACGATTTTATAGGTTTCGTAGACGGCTGACTGGGGACGGCGGTGGCACTGGCGGTGGCACTGGCGGTGGAGGTGGCAGCCTGAGAATGGCGCCTCTTGCTGGGGGTGACGGCGATCGTGATGGGAGCCTTAGTAATGGGGTTCACCTCAGCCTTGGCAATGGCTTGGGCGAGGCTCTTCTCCACGTAGGCGCCGATGAAGGGCATCTCTTCGGCCGTACGGGTGCCATCCAACTCGGTGAGGTGGACCAGCCCTTCCGCCTCTGGACAGTAGACCCATTGATGGAGAAAGGTCAGCTCGGCCTGATAAAACTGGGTGAGGTAGTTTTCCGAGATGCGCTTCCCCTGGAACTGGAGCATGCGCACAACCTTCTCAGGCGTCTTCGACGTTCGAAGCATGCGGTAGGCCGTCTTGAGTCCCACGCTGGGCAGACCGTCGAGGTAATCGCAGCCGCTGAGGATGGCCATCCTGCGGAAGTCTGCATCGCTCCAGCCAGTGAGAGACACCTCGCGACAAGCACAGAAGTCTCGGCGGTTGATCTCGATACAGGCTCCGTAGCGGTCCATCTTGGTGAGCAGACGCTTGGCACCAAAGACGAGCAAGTCGGAATCGTCTGATATGATGCCGTCGATGAGACCCTTGCGTTCAAGGTAGACGAGCTGGGCGTCGGCCTCATACGGGGCAACGACGTAGGGGACATTGATCTTTTTGAGCTGGTGGATGAGAGAGGCGGCCATCTCGGGGGTGACGTCGATGCACTTTTGGAACTCCTGGGCGGCCAGAGACGGTTTGCCGGCCTTGATGTACCCCAGAGCGGCCTTTTTCTTCTCGTCTCTGCTCTTGGCGCGGGCGTCTTCGGTGGCGGCCTTGCTGGGCAGATAGTCGCCGTCAAAGACCATGTAGGGCTTGACGCCAAATTGGCAGAGCAGGCGGATACGATGCATGCAAGCCGTCACATACTTGTCAGTGGGCTTGCCTTGGCCGAGCTCAACGGCGCACGAGTAGGCGGCGCGATGGAGCCAGCCATAGCCGTCAATGCCTAGGGTCTGGCCGCGAAAGTTTTTGACCTCTGTGGGGCGTTGTATAGATTTGAGTAGGGGTAGAAGGCCTACGAGTAGTAGATGATGAGCATCGTGAACGGTTCGGGGGTTTGGGAGAGTGTGGCTTTACCGGAGACACCCATGACCGCAGCTGGCTACAGGACTGACAGCTACAGAACCGGGGACAACACACCCAATGCGTCTGGCAATCCGGCAGTCTAGAAACCTGACAGCCAATCGGTTTCAAGTCCGGAGCGACATGAGGCAGAGGAAATAATCAAGAGAGAAGACACGGGGATGGGCGAGATATGAACGATAGACGCGTGCTCCTCCCGAGGAAAAACAAGGGCGAGGGCGAGAGAGGCAAGGGATGTAGGAGGGAGAAGGAGGGAGCAAGACGGCTTTGAAGCTTGTATAGTTGTCAAGAAGAAGAGGGAGAGGGTCGTCGAGAGTCGAGTTCAAAGAGTCGAGAGCTTTGGCGCAGGAGGAGGAAGAAGCCTGAGAGACGTTGCTAGAGGCTGAAGTGATTGCAATATGGGATATGGAGAAATGGAAGGTACGTCGTTGATGTGGGACGCGCCTGCCCCATTAAAACCAATTAATCCATGGTCGTCCTTGGAGGCGCGTCTGGGGGAAGGCGCGATGGTCTTCCCAAAGAGGTATGGTCCAACGGTGGACAAAAAGATACGTGCAACCATGTTTAATGTCAGACTGTATTAAACACTCAGGGACAGTGTCAGTAATATCGCTGATTTGTACTCTCCCTCTTACTATTATCAGCAGATATGGTACATCTGTACTCCGTACTCTCGTTTCATATGATTGTGATAGTACGAGTAATACTGCTCTGCCCTGTATTTGACTCCTACGCTGGCTGCGGCTACTCTCAACTATCGCGTACCCCTTTCCTTGAAGCGTGTCCACCAGATGCACCCCCAACCTTGTCACCACGGTCAGGCTCAGCAGTTGCCAGCATCTCCCACAGTCGCCAACCACCAGCGCGCGATACAGAGAGGGCAATCAATGGGCATCTTTTGCATTACGGTGAAGCCGAGACTTGTGACGAGTACGGACCCGGTGTACGTGTTTTGCATGTACGGACGAGTATGCAGTATTATTATATGTAGCTGTATTAGTAGTAACATGGCAAGCAGTACCTGTAGATACTATAATTTTCAGTGGCATCCTTGGGAAGAGCCCTTCTGTGGCTTGACAGTGTATACAGCAACTACATGTACGGCACACGCCACGTCCGACGTACGTATAGGCAGAATATGAAGAGGATTAGACAGCAGTCATGGTGGAAAGCGAATAGGAGGGTGAGCGCCGGTGATTGTATTATTGTGTTTTCCATTATTTTCACTGTTATTACTCTACTCGTTCGTACTTTTTCGTGTGTGGAAAGATCATGTAGAGTCAGTGATTCGAAGCCAGCTATATCAGGTATCAGTACATCCAGCCAAGCGCGTCATCACCGTCAGTCTTAAGTACCCTATACATACCTCCACAAGCTCCACGACTAAAGTGGGATAAATCATAACCGGTAGCACCCACAAAATCTTTCACATGGTGGAATCTTTCATCCGTCGGACATCAACGCCGCAACATCGAGGCAACAACATCAAGGCAAAAGAGGAATATCGAGAGCAACAGATTCAAGGCATACAAGACGCTTGCAAGGCATCCGTCATCATCACCATCATGCCCAGCTCTCTTCACAAGACGCGTAAGCAAATCGCCAAGAAGCGCAACGGCGTCCCCACAGCCCTGCACGAAAAGTCTCGGGACTCTCTCCGTCTACACAAAGCCAGCGTCCGCGATCAGAGGTTGCACAAGCTGTTTGAGGCAAGGAACAAGAAGGAGCAGCCTATCTGTGCGTTCCCTACACCGCTTACCTCCCATGGCAATAGAATCATGGTGATGATGGATCGGCGACTGACCTAGCTTGACAGTGGAACGGGCAACATATTTCCATGAAAACGTTCACGAAAAGAATGGCGAGGCTCTCAGTGAAGAGACTGTCAAGGGTCTGATTACTGCGTGAGCGTGTTTTGAGATATCCCATCACCTACCAAGAAATTCTGTTTGTCTAACTGGGGGGGGGCGCAGCTTTATCCATCAATATGATGAAGAATACAGTGACCTAAAAAAGGCCCGCCGTCCCGGTCGTCCAGGCACAGCCAGGGAGGAACTCCTGAAGATCAAGATTGCCGCTCTGAATAGGGAGTATGATGAAGGATTCTGTACGTTGTTCTTCCTTCATTTGACAAGCCCCCCTTGCCCTCTTCTCGTGCTAACACATCTCAGCCATCCCCGACGTCTTGTCATCGGAGAATGCTAAAAAGCTGAGCGTATGGGAGGGCTCGTGGCCCTATCTGACTACCATCCCGTGGGTCAAGGTGTCTAGCTCGGGCCAGACGAGGCCTACTGACTTCCCGACAAAGGGGTTGAACTGAGCTTGCCGGCGGGGGGGACAGTTGGATTGACACGATTATGATGATTGACGACACATATGATGGCTTTGAAACACATGCAGTCGGTTCCCTCTCCCTCCCAGCCCAACAAGGTGCTATGAGCGGACTGATGGAGCACGCACCGAGCAGCTTTGTGGGGAGGACAGAAACGAGAGAGAGAGAGAGAGAGCTCGCGCTATACACAGCGAAGACCAAAGGGAATGCTAGCACGTTGTTTAGGGGTCCGCCACCTGGCTGAACCAGATGCTCATATACAACAGTGTTGCCGAGGCATATGATGCTCAGCGCAGATCAAACTGTTCACCAAGAGACATGCACCAAAATATCGGGTACATATAATCACAGGAGGCTTTCAATGGGAACGAAATATAAATCGCAAATTCCCCTTCTCTACTGACACTCTATAGTATTTCACTACTTGCATTCGTATTGCCATAACTTGAATGTGCTCCTTTAAAACAGTCTGTCCCCGTGTTTGTACAAGACAGCAGTCACGTGTTTCCGCGCATTCAGGAGTTGAAGCCACGGGGAGATTCCTCCAGGCTCCAAGGCCAATGACCCCATATTTTTTTTTTTTCAAAGCTCCCAGATTGCTTTTCTAATTTTTCATTACAGCGAACAAGAAAACAAAAAAGTCCTTTTATCCATCTTCTATTCAACCCCATCCAATATTGTCCATCATCAGATATTCCCCTCACATCCCTATACCCTATATTCCTACCCAGATTCCTATCCCATCTTTCAAAATGCTCTCCATCAGGACCCTGGCACGCGCATCCGCGCCCCGCGCCATCCGCATGGCCACCACATCCACCATGCGCAGCGCCCGTCCCTCAATGTTCGCCTCGGTCAAGCCCGTCGCCGCCGCCGCTGCCATGACCAGCCGCACCTTTTCTGTCACGGCTCGTCGCTGGGCAGCCGAGAACAAGACCGAGTCGGATGAGGAGCTCTCTGCCAAGCTCGAAAGCGAGATCCAGATCGAAGAAGACATGAAGACCTCCGAGCAGGAGCCCGCCAGCGTCCGTGATTTCCTGGCCAATACGCCCTTTGAGCTCATCGATACTCCTGGGAAGGAAGTTGTTAAGCTGGTTCGTCAGTACAATGATGAGAAGTATGTTTTATCAATAGAAAACTCCCCCAGACCTAAGCCCCAGAGGAAAAAGAAGGAGAAGAAGAAAAAAAAAAAGCTAACAATTTTCCAAGAATCACCGTGAGCTTCTCCATCGCCGACATCACAAACTACGACCCCTACAGTCAAGACACGGCCCTCGAGGACGAAGAGGCCTTTGACGAGCAGCAGTCTTCCTCCGGCAACTCCAAGCGTGCCCCTGACGAGGACCTTGCCGAGGAGGAGGAGGACCTCGAAGACGATGAGCCCTCCGCCCCCATCAACCTGTCCATCCTGGTCGAAAAGCCCGGCAAGGTCCCCGGCGCCCTCAACATCGACGCCACCGCCCAGGACGGCGGTATCGTTGTTGACAACCTCTTCTACTTCGACGACGCATCCGTCGCCCGCGCCGAGACCCCCGAGTCCGCCCAGGCCCGCGCCGACATCTACCCTGGCCCCCCCTTTGGCAGCCTCGACGAGGACCTCCAGGTCCTGATGGAGAGGTTCCTCGAGGATCGCGGCATCACCCAGACCCTTGCCGTTTTCGTCCCCGACTACGTCGACGTCAAGGAGCAGAAGGAATATGTCCGCTGGTTGAGCAATGTCAAGAAGTTTATCGACACTGCTTAAAACACCTCACCATCCGACAACGTCCTCCCCCCCCCCCCTTCTTGTTGAGCATAACACGCGCATATCTCAACTTTGTAAAATCTCCCACTCTTGTTGTACAACACATGTTACTCTTACTGTTACTATTATATGAGGAAACCTCCCCCCAAAAAAAGCCAAACCAAAACAATACAAATCACGATGAATGTCACATTTCAACACGCAAAAGCACGTCAATGAAAAAAATCACATATTGGTCTCTCTGTGTAATAATATAGAGCATGAGGAATGCCTCTTCAACTCTATGTGCACACATATCCGTACCTTGTACCTGTAGACAATCCTGTCATGTAGTGACCATGAATTTAGTATGCATATCCCGATATTATTCCAAACCCCATATAGAAACATAAAACGCCCGAGGTCTGTTCTGCCAATTATTGTAATGTGGATTCCCCGTTCTGCCATCTTGTCTAAACCAGAAAAAAAAAGATAAGAAATAACCGATGATAAAAGGTGACAGTTCAAAAGGATCATCTTCTTATACCCGCTGCCCTGTAAAATAAAGTAAATAGGAGGAAAAAAAAGAGACATGACCATCAACATTGTCTAATAATGGTGGTTCTGTAGAGAGGGAGGGAGGGAGAGGTAGGAGGCAGATATCCAATTCTACACAATGCCCTCCAAGTTCCAGTCACCCTGTTGAGCACGCTCTAGAACCTTCTTACCCTTCTCAGTCAGGTCAGGTCTGCCACCATTACCGGTAATATGCTCAAAGAAGACGGGCTTGAAGGGAGTCTTCTCGGCTTCGCGCTTGCGTGCCAGCTCCCTCTGGGCTTCCTCTAGCTCGATCTTGATGCTGGTGGCCTTGGAGAACTGCTTGGACTTGATGGCGTCGGTGACGCCGCCCCAGAAGGTGAGAGACTCGTTAGGGGCCTGCTTCTCCTTGGGGGGCACCAGCTTGGGGGCCACGGAGAGGGGGCCAATGTCGATGAGGACGTGCTGTTCCTCTGCAGGGACGGATTTCTATGGCGAAGGGTCAGTCAGTGCCTGTCATGGCAAAGGAAGACGACGTCGACTTACAAATGGCCTGGTACCAAGAGAAAACATAACCTTCTCCCTCCAAGCGCCGCTGATCCTGGCGAGGACAGCATCGTCGGGAACGTCCTGAATGCGCGTCTTATCATCATTGTCCGGGTTATACCTGAAGATGACACCGTCGACCTTGTTTGTGTAGCGGCCCAGCCAGCCCTCGTCGTAGTAGTGAAGGATGACCTTGATCTTGGTGGCGGGACAGGTGACGTAGGCCATCTCGCTGGCCGAGACGCTGAGGGAGCCCCTGAGCAGGCCGCCCAGGTAGGCAGCCGGGTGGGTGAGCTGGTACTCCTCGCCGCCGCGGTTGTCGAGCGTGATGAAGATGCCCATGTTGTGCTCTCCAGGCATGACTTTGACCGAGGTTCCGGTGAACTTGGCCGTGATCTGGTCGAAACCCCTGGCGCTGATGCCCTTTTCGGGGCAGCTGACGTAGAAGGCGCTGACGGGGGGGTGGTGAGAGGTCTGCTCGGTCAGGTAGGAGATGCGGACAGTCTTGGCTTCGGAGGAGGGGGTGCCGTGCTGGGGGACCGATAGGGAGAGTGACGAGTCGTTCTTGTCGGATTTGTTCCCCGATCGGAGACCTGAGAAGCCGCTCTTGGTACTGCTGGCCTTGGAGGCGACATTGGCGGTCTTGACGAGAGGGGCATTGTCTTCTGTCTCCCAGTTGCACTGCGGGTTGGGGCGAGGTATATGTCAGTCCTTGTTTCTTGCTGTTTGTCTCTTATCCTCTTCTTCTTCTCTTCGCCGTTTTGCTCTCTCTTTTTAGCGGCAATGAGAGTGGGGAGATGCGGAAACATACGCGAAAGAATTCTCCTAGGACAGAGTTGTAAGGCTTGCAGGGCTTGCCCTTGATATACTTGAGGTCTTTGGTCAGCCAGAATCGGAGGACCTCTAGTGTGCGGTCGAGTTCATCGTCCGAGGTCCCAATGGCGACAAAGGCATTGGGAGCATCTATGTAGTTCCAGTATTCGAGGTTGGGGGTGGGTTCGAGAAGCTGGGATGGCAGTGAGAATCTCACTGAAGCGAGATCGGCAACACCGATAAATCTGTTATCAGGTTTGATTAGTATCATATCCCGTACGTCTTCTTCTCGCGCGCGTTGCATGTATTCTCTTCCCGACCATGATGAGAAAACCTACTTTCTCAGAATACCAAGAAAAGTCTTGAGCTTGGAGCCATCGCTCTGATGCTCGTCCGTAGTGGCAGCCGTCTCAATTTCGGCGGTGGGGGGAACGGATGACGCCATGGTGTTTTTACGTCTTTGGGGGGGGGGGGGGCCCCGCTCAGGTTGCTTTGAAGAGAGGAGGGCGAAAAAGGCCCGGTATGGGATATGGTTCCCTTGTAGGGTGGTTGTCGTTTTTTTTTCCAGCTTAGTGTGAATAGATGAAGACGGTTGGTCTTGGGATGAGGATGAGGATGATGGTGACGATGATGATAAGGAGGGGAGAAAGTGAGAGATTCGGGAAGAATATCAGGGTCCAAGGCGGTGACGGAAAGGAAGAGGAGGGGAAAGCTTGTCGGAAAGCGGGATGTTCGTACTGTGCGGAATTGGCACAGAGGGTATTCAGAGAGTCAGCGCCTGTATTATCGGGAGTTATAGAGGACCCGGGGGAATTACAGGGGGTCCCTTCTGGGGGTTGTTATTTTAAGCTACGGTGGTGCACGAGCGTCAAGGACACCACCTCGACGCCACTGCCACCGCCACAGATGGATGGGAAGATGAAGTCAGCAGGACTGTACAGATTACAGATTACAGATTACAGAATCCTACCAATACCCTCTGAAATAACATGATAATGAAGAGTATTGTTGTTTTGAGGAATCTGTATGACAGTATAGACTTGTAATCATGGCCTTGTTCTTTTTTTTTTCTTTCTTTTTTTTTTTTCGCTTCATTTTGCTCTGTGATGGATGATATTATACGGTAATACCACCGATACCTACTACGTATATTAACACAAGTAAGTATGGAGGATAGCAATATCGATACCAGTGCTCGTGGTGAGCCACGCCCAATCATTGATATGGGGTAGTCAAGTCTAGCGGATGATACTACCCGAGTGATATCATGGTGCCTCTAAGGCTGAGTAAGGTGATGGCTGCCATTATTAAACCAATCTACGTGACTATGTAGTCAGCAGTCGAGACGGGTCACGGGATCCGGGATCTCCGTCCATCGTCTTATCTCTTTCCTTATCATGAGTATCGACAGCGTCAGACACTGACAGGTAGGGATCATATGGCACGCCACGGATAACGTCATACTCAACAGCCTCACCACCACCAGAGATCCTATGCCTCTCCCCTCTCTCGTGTGACGTCCCCTTCTCATCCTATGACGATCAAGTGCAAACATACGTCAGACCAGCTGTTCAGAATGATCAAGACGCGGGGAATATGACGAGACTAGTTCAAAAAAAAAAAGAGGGAAAAAAAAGAAGAAGAAAAGAGGATTTTGTGCAGAGCCGCCCACGCCACTCCTACCCAGGTTTCCGGGTTAATTGGCGTGTGGGGTAATGTATATGATTTTGTGTGTGGGTACGACAGACGACCATATGAGCCACGATTTTCATCTTTGAATACTTTGTGCGTGTGTGTGTGCGTGCGTGTATGGTGTGTTTCTCTCTGCTTTCTGAGTGTCTGTTTCTTGCACTTGGTTGGATCGTAAAAGAATAGGGTTGATCGGATACTTTCTTCTTGTCTCGTTCCAGTAACCCTTGCATGTCAGTTTCAGCTGGAAGGAAGGCCCACGGTGGATAAGAAAAACAAGGTGAAGAACTATCGCCGGACGAGACCCCCCCTCAAAAAAAAAGGTCATTTTGAGGAACAAACGAAAGCTGAAAAGGGTGAGAAGGTTGAAGATATCGGTGTCTTCACACAGAAAAAAAAAGGGTTACAGGGTTTGATTCGCCTAAGGGAATACCATCAGGAGCTTCGTCTACTGTAGCCTCAGGCAGTAAAGTCAGACAGGTAGGCCAAGACCTCTCTCGCTGACTCTGGAGCTAAAAGGCCGGCGCACGCTGCGTGTCTGCTGCGCTGCTATGCTGCAGCCTGCAACGCTTTACATGGCGCGACAGCTGCGGGAGCCAAAGCTGTGACTAGCCAGAGACGTATTAACCGGGGATGCATCAATATGATGTTTAGACTTGCCGAACTTGAGGGGGAGGGGGCGCAGCTGCAAACGAGCTCGTCGTACCGTACATGTACCATGTGAAATGGGGCGGAGAGGGGGGGGGGGAGGAGGAGGAGGGAGCCCGGACATAAGTCCGGCGGGAATGTGGCTTGACCCACGGGACCACCGATGACACAAGCCAGCGATGGTCGAAAGTCAAGCCCAACAGGCGGACGAAACACTCCGGGAATATTGGGGAATGAGAAGGGTGGAGGGAGGGGTGGGGGGAGAGGAGGCCGCCGAGGGGCCTTTGATAGATTTGATAGACCCAAAAGGAATTCGAGAGACCTTGAAAGAAGGAGAGGGAGATGGAGAGAGAAGAGAGAGAGGAGAGAGAGAGAGAGAGAGAGAGAGAGAGAGAAGGAGGGAGAGAGGGTTACGGAGTACATTTGGTGATGTGCCTTGCACTAACATTGACAGTCTGACGAAATCCGTGGCTGCGTCTGATCAGCCACACGACTCAAGCCACACAGCGCATTTTGGCCCTTTCTTTTGGATCCAACCCTTGATAGATTTGCGTCACTCGGTAGTCTCATCCGCATCGTCATATCACATTTCTCCATACCCTCCCTCGGATGTCCTTCCTTCTACCCCCGGGCCGTCTGGCTCTGGGCCTGGATTGCCGGGGTCTGTCCCGGAGAATTTGGTCCTAGGCTACTTCGCTGCAAAAGTGGTCGAGTTGGTAGGAGGAAAAAGGAGAAGAAGAAGAAGAAGGGGGGGGGGCCGGAGTTGGAAGGGTCACGTAACGCATCCAACCCAATGCCATTAAACCGGATCACATAGAGAAGCGTGGAAAAACATGGAACGGCATGTAATATGCATCCCTGACCGTCGCACCATCGTGTTGAATGTTGGATGTTGAAATCCAGTATTTCCTGTATGCAATGTGTGGTCTTTGTGGCTGGTGATTGGGCGGGGCGGTGCATCTTGTAGCGCTACATAACGATGGTTGATATGCGTTACCCTATCTCTTCTGTTCTCGTCAACCTGTACGCGGCTTCCTGTACGTACACGGCCGAGCTGGAAGAATTGCGGGCACGGCATTGTCCATTGTTCCACTGATGCACTCATGGGACGAAGGAAGATGGCTAGTCCTGCTAAGCCGCTAACCTAAGTTACCTATATTAGTAGATTGCCGGTGAGAGTCAAGAGTCATAAGATACTCCAAGCACTATCTGTATTATCGATCACATTTCCGCCCAACTCAACCCTACGCTCTGATGACTGGAGCGGTACCCCATGCTAGGCGGTTAGAAAGAAGATGGACAGGAGCTGCGAAGCTGTATCGTACTCGCATTCGCACAGCTGGAAAGCTGGAGCTATGCGGTACGTAGCTGTAGAGCAGTAGAGCAGTAGAGCTACGTATACATGACATGTACAGCAACGCGTACGGACATGTACAGCAACGCGTACGGACATGTATACTCGTACGTATTCAGTACGGACTCTCGGAATACCGCTACTACTTAAAGTAGTATCAGTTACTACTACATGGAGTGGTATTAGCTACTACTGCATCGAGCAGTAATATTCGCCGTGTACCATCCAATCCCATCAGATGAGATAGCAAGACCCAGCCCTTGAGCATGGCATTATCCTAAAGGAAAGGATGGGATTCTTCCCACTTTAAGTGGCAAAAGATTGAAAACACATCATACTTTTTGCTTATACTGCATCTAATTCCGGGTTGTACTCCGTATCTTCAATGGGGAATTTACATGTACGCATTATTGAGAGGCAACCGGTGGCGAACCGAGGGGAGGAAGGAAATATGGCCCATGACATAACAGTTCCTCTCTTTTCTGTTGGAGCAATAATAATAATACTTCATACTACGTACATGTATTAGCAGGAATCATTGGGAAAGATGACGCGGGATCCAGGACTCGCTTGTACCGTCGACCGTGGCATTTCTCATTGACGAATCACGTTGGGACCTGGTAACCTTTGGCATGAGACCCATGAGGTCCAACAAAGTTAACCTGTCGGGTGCATGCCTCTCGATCTTTCTCCATGTCTTGAGCCTTGAGCCTTTTCCTGATGCTTGCGTCTTACTGTGCATTCCCATCACCTTCAACTGTACTACGGGAACCCTCAATCTCTCGTCAATGTTGCTAAATAATACCCCTACAACCCTACCGGTTAGCTAGCTTGCCAACCCTCTCTACCCGAGGAGGAGGCTAGAGATATGAACTCGAAGGCCATGGAAGACGGTACGCTACCTTCTACTACTACTACTACTACTACTACTACTACTACTACTACTACTACTACTACTACTACTACTACTACTACTACTACTATTACAGCATCGCTACGCGTACAACCCAATTTCATCATCACCTACTCGTGCCATCACCATACCCCGTCGTGTGTCTCTCCTGCCGGCTCTATCTATCCCCCACCACCGAGAGGAGTTTCTTCTCCGGACTTTGTGCTCCGGCCATCTCTGGGGAACGAGACAGGTATCGACAAGTGACAGGGGCAGGGGAACTTGTCCCTACATCCCACAAGTACAGGCGATGCAGGTAGTTCCCAGTACTCGTAGAAGCTAGTCGTGGCCGGTGAAGCAGCTTGAGCCGTGGTAGCAGTGACCTACTCCTCTAGTACCCAGCAATGGTAGATTGCTAACCGATATACTCTCGCAGCAATACGACGCGATAGTACCGCCCATTATTACTTGCATGCCTGCACAGGACCTGTTATATGATTTGCCAAAAGAAGCTGCAGCACTAGTAGCACAGCATCCGAGAGTCCTTGACAACATACCGTTACCCTTTCAGTCCGTCCAGTACCGTCCACCAATTCCATGTCCCATGTTGATCAAGGACGCACACAATGCTGATCGACAACAGAAATGACATCTGAAAGTGTACGCGTAACGTAACTCTCATTATCCCCGGAGGCAATTTCCATCCCAAGGGAGCAAGGGGGCATCCCCGTCTCCTTCCATTACAGCTTCTCTTTTTCTCCTTTTGGAAGTTAGGGGCTCTTCCACCCGGAGCCTCTATGCACACCACCGTCACCATGATGTCAAAACAACGGTAGCCTGCATGGTACATGTATCAAAAGTCTATGCTGCGATCCCAAGGAATTGGCTCCAACCTGTCCTCCTTGAGAGATCGCAAGGAAGGTTGTTAGGGTATCACGTATTCTTTGAAGACACAGGTAGGATGAGTCTGGACAAAACAGAGTTCACGATGGTCAAAGAAAAAAAGGCCCAACGTTTCCTAAGAGTCTAAGCGCGTCCCGCTAGTAAAGAGGGGAAGAGTAGGAGAGCAGGAATCTCTCTCTCTCTCTCTCTCTCTCTCTCCCTACACAAGACCCCCCATTGGAAAGAGGAGAAGGGCACCTCTCTCTCCTCCGAGCTTAACGGTGGCGGAGAAAAAGAAGACTCCAGCAAAGGAGGGTAGTGTCGAGATGGTACAGGTACCTTGGCAGCCGAGATTGTTTTGGGCCTAAACCTTGGGCGCGAGCTCCGTCATGTCAGGGATCGGGAGAATCTGCAGGGAAGTGAGTCCGGGTCGAGTGGTGTGTTCGTGTTTGTACTCTCGTAGGAGGAAATCAGAGGAAGATGAAGAAGATGGGAGAAGGTCGAGAAGCCACGTTATCAGGTTACCGGGGGTTGGGATGGGAGATACCAGCCAACCAACTCCAAGTCCCCATGTCCCATAAACGCCATGTTTGATTCCTTCCGCTCTGACACGGTTTCCACCTTTCCACCGGGCGGAACCCCGTTGCATATGGTAGGCGGTAAAGGTGGCGGCGGGCGGGAAGGAAAGAAAGAAAGAGTAGAGAGTGGGCGAGGGAGGGTGAATGATGAGAGAGAGAGAGGAGGGAGAGAGGGAGAGGAACTTGGTGCCGGTAGCTCTCACACTAAAAGCCCACCGGTTCCGATCTCGATCGATGACCCTCCTAATCCACGATGCTGTACTCGGTAACGGCCTCTTACCAGACAAAAAACTAATTTTTATAGCTTGGGCCATTTTATTGCTCTATCCAATTGGGAAAATCAGGACAGCGGCGTATTTCGTGGCTCTGCCCAGAAAAGTTGGTCGTAACTGGTAACCAACCTGCTCGTACCTTGTGGGGGAGAGAGAGAGAGAGAGAGAGAGAGAGAGATCTTATTAAAGGCAGCCTCCTCATCTTGTTTCCCTCTGTTTCTCGTACCTCTCCTATTTCCTCATTACCTACGCCGTCTTGGATCCTTCTACCTATCCATACGACAAATACCATCTTGTACAGAGTCCATCGACTGCAATCCAACTATTTGAGAACCCACATCGTATACAGCCTGTATACACACATTCTGTATACACAGCACAGCAACCTCAACAACACACATACACACATACACACACATATACATCATGCCTCGGCACACTCCACCAGCGGCAGACAAGGGATCCGGCGTCTACCGCAGAATGTCTGTTCTCATGAGCCCCAACACTCTGGCCAAAAAGGTATGAACCACACAAACTGTCCCTCTCTTCATATCTATGTAACACGCACGCACACGCACGCACACGCACGCACGCACGCACGCACGCACGCACATACATGCATACATACCATACACACAAGTCCCCCATTCATAACACCTCAATACCAGACCGAACGCTCTCATGAAGAGAACCAAGAACGCGCCTACATTGCCGCCTCTCGCCGTCAGGACCGCAGCATCGAAGCCCGCGTCCAGTCGGCGCGCATGGCGGGCGAGATCCATTTCAAGCGCACGGGCAAGAAGTTCCACATCACGGAGGAGATCGTCCTGAAGGAGGACATGTACGAGGAGGAGGACGACGACCTGGCTCGCTCGTACCAGCTCCGCCGCCGGCTGGATTCCGCCATGCAGACCGAGTCCCCCGAGTTCAACGCCCGCATCGAGGCCTGGATGAACAACCGGCTCGCCATGTCGCAGTACATGCAGCGCACAAACGCCGAGTGGAACGACAACCACATCAACCGCCTGTTCGCCCAGTCCTTCCCCAACGTCAGCAAGCAGGCCAGCCAGGTGTCGCGGCGCATGAGCATGACCGATTCGGGCTACGCCGACTCCCAGTCACCCCATTCCCCCCACTCGCCCGTCCAGAAGGATGACATGATGACTGCCACCTCCGCCACCTCCTGCTCTACCACTCCCGTCCCTGTCCCCGCTCTTGCTCCCCCCCACGAGCAGCAGCAGCAGCAGCAGCAGCACCGGCGGTACCCTCTATCCGTCTCCGTCTCCCCCACCACCGCCTCCTTCAACCTCTCCCCTGGAAACAGTAGCGAAGATGCCTTCATGGATGATGCGACCCCTGCCGCTGTCCCCCGCAACCTCTCCGCACCCGCACCCGCACCCGCACCCGCACCGGCTCCCGCTCCCGCTCACACGGGCCAGGCTCCGTCTTCGGCCTTTGCCCAGGAGCTCCCCAACGAGCTCAAGCAGATCATGATGCCTACCATGGATGCCACTGCAACGACAGTGGACGAGACCGCCTTCACTGATCCCATGTACGACTACAACTCTGCGTCGTGGGCCGGTCAGCTGGATCCGACCAGCACCACCTTCTTCCCGGACGCCACTACTGCCGGCCTCGGTCCCAACGACGTGCCGTTTGGTAGTTTCGACGGCCATGCACCCGCCGTCGCCGGTGGTGGATACATGGATCCTTCTGCTTCTTCCATGCCCTCGCAACATTACGATGAGCCCAACTGGGGCTCATTCCTGAACGACAATGCTTGGAACTGTGACATGTGAACCGACCTAGGAAGTCAGACGATTCAATTCCTTTTTTTTTTTGTGTGTGTGTGTGTGTCTTTCTAAGATATCTCCTAGCGCTCTCTACTATTCCCCGACCCCCTTTTTTCCCCCATACGCCGTCACATTTTCCCTTGAAGAGGACCCTTCTCGAAATAATGGTTGCACTTCCTAGCGTTTACTTTGGGGAGCGACAGAGTTGAGATGGGGGAAGGAGATGATACGAAACGGTTCTCTTCAAGTCGACGATGGACACGGACAGAGGAAATATGAAAGAAAGCCGGTGCTTAACTAGATCGGCACTGGACAGTTTTTTGTTTGAGAATATCCTTTTCCTTTTTTTTCTTCGCTTTCAACCCTTTTGCTATGCCTTTTGTTTTGTTCCTTACTGCTGCTGTCTGATGGGTTTAGACGATGTTCGTATACTACAAAATTTCTGCAAAGTTTTGATGGTTGTGTATTAGTTAGCCACGGATTTACGAGCAAGGTGAGATGAGATGAAATACAAGCGTTTGATCTACCATGACTTGTGTGTTATACTGTAACGTCCTCATCTCCAGGAAGTGTGACTCGACTCACCAACTTGGGATCTGCTGCCTTGAAGGACTGAGGTGTTATAACAACGGCCCATCTCTCCAGTTGTTTTGGTGTCGAGAGATATCTACAGACAAGACTTTCGTACCAGAGCTACTTCGAATCACTACAAGTATGACAGAGAAAATAATGCAAGCCTGCTGCTCAGGGACCACTGTTGTATATGCGCTTTTCACATATACATGTTCCTGACCTGATCGCATCAACGCAAAACATACATAGCCTTTAAACTTACCAGCCGCAACAAAATCATAATGCATAATGAGAAGGCATTGTTTACCTTTCCCCGTAAGGGTTCCTCACTTTATATATTCCGAGTAAAATACAACAGTTCTAACGCCTCTTTGATCTCTTGTACTTTCACATACCCCCCTTCCCAGAAGAAGACGACAAGAGACGAAAATCATACAACCCAACTCCCCATCAGGCAATCTTTATATATACAACCGCCAGGCAGATACCCACAATGTCTCTCCACCCAAGGCAACGCCGGCCTCCGTACCCGGCATCCCTACTCTCTGTCTCCGCGGACCATCCCCAGACAGCCGTCAGCACCCGGAGTCTCCTACCGGCAATCACCCACGAGGATGCCGTCGCGTCCATCCAGATAATACGCCTCGCACTGGCCGGGGACCAATACCTTCTCATCAGGAGCCTAGGCGTCCTCCTGACCAGCTTGGGAGACCCGAGCGGTCGCCACAGCATCGCCGTCCGCCACTGGAGCAGGAGAGCCACGTCTGAGATGTTGAGACGCTTCAGGGGAGAGGTCGGACGGATCATCCGTCGCCGCATGCTCATGATACTGGGGGGGCGGACTAGGCTGGAGGACGAGAGGACCAGACGCCTTTACGATGCCTACCGATGGCTTCTGGAGTAAGAGAGGAAGACGAGGTTGGCAAACTTTTGAGGTGTTGAGTATGGAATGTCTCTCTAAAGAGACAATGACTTGACCGTGTGATTAGCTTGATTCCCAAGAATTCGAACGAGAATGTATCGAGAAGCATGTTAAGAGATACTCCGACGTCTTGATTTCCTTGTATCATGGCATTTGTCTGCAGTCTCTTGGTAGCCTCTGTAGATTATACGCATTGGAGGAAAGAGGGACGACTGTTGGTTGCTCTTGCCTCATTAATATGATCCACTCCACACATCAATCCAAACCTCACTTTTCATCATCACCATCGTCACATCACCACTATCACATCACCATCATTACTGGGTCTTCTCGCAAATTAATTCACCAAACAAAAAAAAATCTGAAGAGAATTGAATTATTTTGGTTATGCTACTTCCCATCTCTGCTGCTCACTGACGGCTCGCGCCTGCTGGGCGTCTGTGTCTGCTACAGGGCATCATGTATTACCTTGCACCTCTGTCTCGGCACTATTTATTATCTGCATTTTCCCTTTTCTCCCTTTTCTCCTTCTTCTCCTTCTTCTCCTTCTTCTCCTTCTTCTCTTTCTTCTCTTTCTTCTCTTTCTTCTCTTTCTTCTCCTTCTTGAGCTTTGACTTCTCTACCTCCTCCTCCTCTGCTTCACCCATCACCACATCTTCCGTCTCATCGGCTGCACCGTTGCCAGGCTTCACCTCCGGCTGTTCCCCTGCCTGCTCCCTCATATCCTCTTCCATAGGAGCTGGCTCCTTCTCCTCTAGCCTAGGCTCCTGCCACCTCTCAGGTCGGCCGCCTTTCTTCGCATCAGACCTCGCATCAGACCTTGCCGGCTCCGGCACCACATCAACCTCCCTCATATAGGCCTTCCAGTCACCCATCCTGGTCTTCCACAGATCTCCCTTCCATGCACGCCAAACACTCCGGCCCATCCAGGTGGAACGGAGGTTCATCTCGACAGTGCCCAGGCGGTTCATGACAGCCTCCTTTATGTGGAAGGGCACGCTGCGGTCCCTCCCCTTTCCAGGGACGCTGGCGAGTGCGATGATGAGATTGTGGCCGTACTGCGATGTGGCGAGGTCGGTCGTGTGCGGCACAATCAGCTTCGAGGTTAGCACCTTGTGGAAGGCCGGGTTGTTGGGCGACGGCGTGGCAAGGGCCGTCGAGAGCACGTTGACGGTCGGCAGGGATGCCTTGGCCAGGCGGAGGAGCTGCTCGGGCGAGAGAGCCAGCAGCGCCTCTTGCACGCCCTTGGAAGGCCCGGGGATTGACAGCAGCGTCGTGAGTAGCTGGGCGCCGTGCGACTGGATGGCGTACTCGTTGCGGGATAGCTGGGAAGCGTCGCTCTTGTCGGCCTTCTTCTTCTTCTTCTCTTTCTCGCCACCTTCGCCCGTGACATCCTCGTCGTCGCCTAGGGAGCACAGTGTCTTGACCAGGTCTGACGGCTGCGGTCCGCAGCCGTCCTTGATACCGCGGTTGATGTGCTTGATCTCTTCGTTGAGGCCTCTGGCCACGCAGCGCTCAAGAAGTGTGCGCAGGACGTTGTAGCGCGTCTTCTCAACCAGCTGCGGGACCGTGGGCTCGATCTTGGCCACGGCACTGGCGAGGTCGTCCTTTCCGAGACGGGCCAGGACACGTATGGCAGGGTAGCACGACACGTCGTTTCGCACGTAGCCCTGTATACGGGGGAGGAAGATGTTGTGGCTGAGTGACTTGAAGACCTTGCCGGGTGCGTGTGTGATGAGGGTCTCGATGAGTCGCGAGCCAATCTGGTCGTAGACCATGCCGTTGATGAACTCGGAGGCCTCGGAGGACTCGTCAGCCAGAGACTGCGGCGCACCGGGAAGGAGGCGCTGCAGCAGAGAGGGCTCCTCCCGCTCGGCGTCGGCCGCCTTCTTGTCGCTCTTGTTGAAGCTGAGGTCCAGCTCGAGTAGGAGCTGCAGCGTCGGGTTACCGATCGGGTGCTTGGCCAGGACGCGCAGACTGGTAGGGTCGAGGCCGGAGACGGAGTCGTTGACAATCTTTTGCAGAGCCATGGTGAAGGACTCGGGCACGGCACGCAGACCCTGATTGCCCTCGTCAGCCTCAGCGGCACCAGCCACGGAGATGTTCTCCTTCTTCTTGCTCTTGATCAGGGTGCGCACAGAAGCGTCGTCGAGCGGACGGCCCGAGAGGACCATGATCAGGACGCGCAGGGTGTGCGAGGCGAAGCGGTCGGTGATGAGGTAGGGCAGATGACCCTCCAGCTCATCCAGAGTCTCGAGATACATGGTCTCCATGGGCAGCTCGGGCTCCTCCTCTTTGTCGCCGCCGGCATGCTTGGAAGCGTCGATGACGAAACCCACGAACCCCCCGGCCAGCTCAGCCGTCACTGCACCCGCCGACCGCAGGAACAGCGCTTCGCAGCAGTGACTGGCGAAGCGGTGCTGCACCAGACTGAGGAAGTGACCGGCGAAGGCGGAAAAGATGCGCTTCAGCTGCGCAGCGCTGCACAGCTGGATCAGCCGCTCCATCAGCCGCGAGCACGACTGACTGCTCGCCAGCTTGAGCTCCTTGCCCTTGGCCTCGCCCAGCACACTGTCGAGGAAGAGTTTGCGGTCCTCTGCGCTGGGGAACTGGTTCAGCTCCAGAAGCTCGTCCGATCGGCGGAAATACTCCTGCTCCTCGTCGGACAGCATGCCGAAGAATTCCGTCTCCACCCTCTCGGCCCCTCCAAAGATGGACGCATCGTATTCGTCCATCTGTCCTTGATCTCGTCCATTGTCCTCCTTCTTCTTCTTCCTCCTTCTCTTATCACCGTCATCGTCGTCGCCGTCGCCGTCGTCGTTCTCGTTCTCGGGGTCATGACGGTGTCTCTTGAACTCATAGTTGGCATCTTGTTCCTCGCGACGCTTGCGTTTTCTCTCATTGCGGAGGGCACCGCGCTTGGTACGTGGCTTTGGCATGATGGACTTGGGTTCAATATGTTTTTCTTTCCCTTCTTCTTTTCTTCTTCTTGAATGTAGAAGAGAATAAAAAAAAAGTGTTTTGTCTTGATTCAATTCATTCGTATCGAAGTAATGGGGTTTTTTTTTGTCGTCTGGGATGGGACTGAATGAAACTTCATGTACCTCTTTTTTTTCTTCTTTTTTTTCCCTCCTACTTCCCCAGACAGCCCACCTCTGATAAGATAAGCCATTGGAAGTGGGACATCCGCCCGAGATAATATCCACTGGGACGGGAGTCACGGCGCAAGGCCCAACCGTCGTTTTCTTCCTTTCTCCTCCTTCTCTTCCATTTTATTTTGCTACAGACAGACCATGATTGAATTGGAATAGTCATGTCTTTTTTATTCATCCAGCGTCATTCTATATACTCCTATTCTTTCTTACAATATGTACTATGCAAAAAGAAAAAAGAAAAAAAGAAAAAAAAAGCCATGACATCATCTTGCCGCTTCATGCTTTCCTCTCCCCTTAGGCAAACTTTTCCTTGCCGATTTCCTCGGTAGCCTTGATGAGACCGTGAATGGTGTCAGGCTGAGTAAATCCGTTCACGACAACACGGAAGAAGCTCCCCTTATCGCCAGGAGCGTAGTCGACCATGAACCCCCGTGGGATGAGATCTTGGGCGATGGCCGCCGTCATGGCTGTGTTGGTCGCCGCATCGTCGGATACCGCTTGGCCGGGAGGCGCGTAGTAGAAGCACACCTGCAGACAGCTGGGAAGGACGGGCGATACGAGGTGCAGCGTCGATGCTTCCCGGACGGCGTTGAACAGAAGCTCGGCCATGTCGAAGGCGTGGTCGACGCGACGCTCGAAGCCCGCCGAACCGTAGTATTGCCATGCTAGGGCGAGCTTGAGGCTGTCGGCGCGGCGGCCGCACTGCAGCGTTAGGTCGGCCATGTCCCAGATTTCGTTGCTGTCTTCGTCGCCGGTGTGGAACAGGTATCCCGCTGCCGTGCGGTTGGCGCGGTTGAAGATGGCCATGTCCGGCCCGAGGAGGTAGGAGCAAGTGCTGGGGACATTCATCATCTTGTGGGGGTTAACCGTCAGCGAGTCGGCCAGGTGGGAGCCGCGCATCTTGTGGCTGTGCTTCCTCGAGAAGATGACGGGACCGCCGAAGCTGGCATCGACATGCATCCACAGCCCGTGCTCCTTACAGATGGCCGAGATGGCCTCGAGGGGCTCGAAGGAGCCGCGGACCGTGGTGCCAGCCGTCGCGTTGACGTAGAGGGGGGTCTTTCCCTCTGCCTTGGCTGCCACCACCATTTCTGCCAGCAGCTCGGGCTTCAAGCTCCCCTCATCATCGACAGGGACGGCCCGCACGCTCGATGTACCCATGCCTAGTATCATAGCGGCCTTTTCCACAGAATAGTGGCCGTGTTGGCTGGTGAAGATGACAAAGTCGTGGCCTGCGTTGCCGTTGGTCCGGCACTCGGGGAACAGCGTGTTGCGTGCCACAACCAACGACGTCAGGTTCGACGCGCTGCCGCCTTGGCAGTTGATGCCGCCGGCGTTGGGGCCGGTGAAGCCATACATGTTGGCCAGGGCCTTGGCCGTCGTCTTTTCCACGACTGTCAGGGCCGGTGCAACCTGGTACACATGGATCTAGGAGAGGGGTCTCAGTTCTTTCTCTTCTTTCTTGATTTTCTTTTTTCCTGGGCTTCGGGGTTTCCCCCTCTCTCAATATCGCCTGATGGGACGCTTACATTGGTGTTGAGAACAGATAGGATCATGTCTGAGATGACACCCACGGGTGTATTGGTGGAGAATAGCTTGTCGAGGAACCCCTGCTCCCACGTGTTGACACTATACTTGAGCATCTTCTGGATGACCTCGAGGAGACCTTCCTTACCACGGCCCTCGACGGGTAGCGACAGCTTCATGCGACCAGCCAGCTCTTCCGGCCTCATGTAGTCAACCAGCACATTGTGGGGCTCACCCGACTGGGTGCGATATGTCTGGCCGGTGTGCTTCTGGCCGGCAGCATCATCGGCCGCCTTGATGAAGGGGATGACTAGATCCTTGACAGCACTAAGCAGCTACTCAAATTATCCATATCTTGTCAGCGTTGGTGCACCGTGCGAGCGGTGAAAAGGAGCGAACAAGAGTGTGTGGTCTCTCACATCATCCATCTCCTCGGCCCTGTTGAGTTTTGTGCTGTGAACGCCATTGCCATTGATGCTGCCATTCGTATGGCTACCATCTGTGGCTGTTGAGCCGTTCATCTTTGATTCTTCTTCTTCTTCTCTCTCTGTCTTCTCGTTGTCTTGGTCGAGGCAGCTTCTTATTGCGATCGTCTTTGAACGCCAACAACGGTCCTGGAGAGTAGAGGAGAGGACAAAACTTTACACAATGCGGGGCACCGGATCTCTCTCTCTCTCAATCTAAGCGGGGAGAGCTGTAAAGGCGCAGTATTACTTCGAGGGAATAAAAAGAAGCCGAAGTGTGGAGGGTTTTTTTTTTCCCTCTCTCGCTCCCTATACCCGGTTTGTCCTCATCCCACGGACAAAGCACGCGAGCGGGTATCGGCTTGACTAATAATACCAACGGCAATGGGCTCGAATAGTATCCGTAAAAAAGTGTGTCTGGAGCTATTTCTACAAATTTGTTAGCGCGTTCTGGAGAATACTGGGTAGTTCTGAGAACCATCAAGTGGGAATCATCGAGTACCAGCGATGGCGGTTCGAGTAAAAAATCAACTACGATGTGCCTCGTACAGAGAGTATCAGTGCAGCTGGAAAGCAAAAGTCCTACAAGCGAGGACAGTCAAAGCTCCGGTTAAACAGAGAAACACCTCGACAAGAGTCGTCGGCATGATTGATTGATTGGGCTCCTGTCGGCGGCGGTGGGCCGGGCTCCTCTGTGCAGGCCCGTCCCAGGGTCCCGAGTCCCGACCGATCGGTCCCCCTGGGTACTCGTAGTATTACAGTAATACTAGATCATCGGCGGATTCATGCATAAGCTATAGAATAGGGCCATCGCTTTCGAGAAAAAACGGTATCAGGTATCGGCATGTCATGTTGCTGCACATTGTAATATGTCATACAAGGTACTGCGTTGGTGAGAGGATGGCGGATGACATATGTTTGGAGGAGAAGGGAGAGGGAAGAAAAGGGAAGAAAAGGGAAGAAGAGGCAGGCGAGGGAGGAGATGGAAGAGATGAAAGAGATGGAGGAGAGGAGAAAGATTCGCCTAGTGGGGGGCAAATTGACAAATGACTTATTAGAATGGCAAACCAGCATCAGGAGGAAGGATCGACCACTTGCAACACACGCACCTTCCTTCAATTCAATATTCACAGGTTTAAAGGTACGTTCGTTATTATGACTAAGTGCAGCAGAGTGCGATGCAATGCTCTCTCTCCTCTTCTTCCCCTCTCTCCTCTCTCTTGCAGGGAGAGGAGGGTGGAATCATCAGCATCATACCCCATCCTCAACGACGTCAAACATGAAAACGCAGGATGAAAAAAGGGAAGCAAAGAAGAAAGACGGACAGGCACTCGGGTGACCTCGGTTGTCACAGCCACCTCGACTACAACACGTCAAGAGCCACACTTGAATGGAAAATTTTACCATACGATCGACGTCACTCTTCATCATACCAAAATCCCGCCATGATGGAACCCTGTATCAAAAGTGTCATGGCTCTCCAGTCCGTGCGCGTCCCAGTGACAGGCCTCCCCTCAGCGCTGAGACAAGTGTTGCCCGCAGGGGAGTCATCTTCCACCGAGCATGGTCCTGCTGCTACAGCGAGATTGAGATTGATCGAGCTAGTGCCCCTGGTAGGGTGATATACAAGTTTTTGCGGATAGCCATGTGCTAGCTCTACAGACGATTGAGGGACGACGTCGTATTGCCACTCCCCCCCCCCCTCCTTTCTTTTTTCTTCTTTCTTCCCCCCCTGCTTCGTTCGTGTAAGCAGGGGGATGAGGTGATTCCATCCAACAGACATGTCTCGGAAAATGGAACAGGTGAGATCCATTCCCCTTGGGAGGAAGGATCAAAAGAGTCAACCGGTCAATCAGTCAATCACGATTGGCAAAGTCACTCCTTGCGTCCAAAGTTACAGATGAGTAACCCGTACTGGAACACTCTGACCATCTGCCGGGAGGGAGGAAGGCCTGAGAATATAATTAATACGTTTAGTGGACTGGGCGCTATCAACAGACGAGACTAGGAGTGAGGACTGAAAGTCAGGACTGGAGCCCAGGAGGGAGGTACCGTTGTCACCAAGTGGAGACGGTAATGGTCCTCGACTGACTTGACTGGGTCATTCGCCATGATGCTGGGAGATTTCATCCAGTAAACATGTGGCCCCGCGGCCCAGGACGCCAGGTCCCCCCCTCCCGTCCCCTCCCGTCACCCCGGTAGGCACGCAGTTTAGTCGAGAGCGGAGTGGGGGATGGAGCCAAAGGAAGAGAGGAGGGAAAAAAAAAAAAAAAGGAGGGGGGCAGAGGAGGAAGAGAGGGTGAGCTTCAGACAAGACACTAATATACCTACAGGTACGAGACGTCGCGCGCGCCGTGAGAGAGAACAAGTCCAGTCGGGGTGGCCTTTGCGACACAGCATACTCGTGCAGCGCGCACTCTACGAGTACACACACCAACAAAATACATACCTTGTTTTCTTTTTCTTTTTTTTTTCTTGTCTTATTGCGCCTTCTTCCTTCTTTCTGAACTGCGTGTCTTTTGTTTTATCGTATCTTGTCACCGCTCGTCGTCTACTGGTGCAACGGAGACCGAAAGAAGGAAAGAAGGAAAAGGGCGACAGCAGCAAACACGCAGAAGAAGGGCGGAGGAGAGACAAGACACAGAAAGACAAAGAGATACACAGAAAGGATCCGAGCGACCCAGTACCGACAAACCAATCGCTAATAATTCGATAACCACCCACAGCCTCGACCTTTCTCCTTGGTCACCTCACCTTACCGGGCCTCTCTTAGTAACTCTTTTTATCTTGTCCGGTTCTCACACGAACACACGACGGTCGGGCCAAGATGACGACATTAAGCCAGCAGCAGCAGCAGCAGATGCCGGTGCCCATCTCCATCACCATCTGCGGCGACGGCGGATGCGGAAAGTCGTCCATCACACTACGTCTGGTGCGATCACAATGGACATCAGAATATGACCCCACTATTGAAGACTCATACAGCCTGACGCGACGCATCGATGGCACGACATACCACCTCTCGTTGACGGACACGGCAGGTCAGGAAGAGTACAGGGGCATGTGGGCGTCGTCCAACCTCGGTGCCGACGCGTTCCTGATGGTGTACGATATTACGTCGCGTGACTCCCTCGAGGCGCTGCAGTACTTTGACGACCTGGTCAATATGGAGTCGGAGACGCGTCTGGACAATGCGGAACGCGCCAAGAAGGCGGGTCTGACGGCCGAGCAGGCCTTTAACATTGGCAGCGTGGGCGGCGGCGGCAGGACCGTGCCGCCCATCAAGCTGGTGGCAGGCAACAAGTGCGATCTGCAGGAGAGCCGTCAAGTGCCCGCGGCGGCCGGTCTGGAGTGGGCGCGTCGGCGCGGGTGCGGATTCATGGAGACGAGCGCGCGGCTCGAGGTGAATATCGAGGAGACGTTTGCGCTGATTGTGCGACGTGTGGCCGAGGCGCGCAAGCTGGCCGAGTCGGGCATGCTGGAGAATATGAACATGAACTCGCGCGGCATGACCAAGCCACTCAGCCCGATCCCGGGAGGTGTCGGGGGCGGCAACGGGTTCGACGGCGGCAACGAGAAGAGGGGACCGGGCCTGAGGGGACCTCAGATCCAGGATGATGACCGGCTCGGATGGTCACGCAACTCGTTCTGGCACAAGCTGAGATGCTGGTAGTCTTGGATATGTCTGGATGTGTCTGGACATGTCCTTAACTCGATCTGCCATACACCCCCTTCCTTTTCTCTCTCTCTCTCTCTCCCTCTCTCTTCCCCTCCCTCTTCCCCTCCCTCTCCCTCTTCTTCCCTGATGGAATCGAGATGACTGTTGGATGACGGATGATTTTTATCTCTTCTATTCCCATTTCCTGTCCTACTATTCCCCCATTTCATGTTATTCGCCCCCCCTCCTCTTCTCACGTTCCGGTTTACCATATCCTACATGTCTGAAATCGGCCACACGGCAACGGAGTTACAAGGTATTTCTCTTATATCCTTTTTTTTATTCTCTGTACCTTTCTTCTTCTTTCGTTTCATTCTCATCCTATCGTGTACCCTGTTGCTGTTAATCATGGGGCGCAGCAAGTTCTTCCCCATGCCCTTGTGTGTAACGAACGGTCTTTTCTTTCCCCTGTCTTTTTTCTTGATTTGTCCAGTTATTGGTTTGGAAGAGGCAAGGATACGATGATGTCTAGATGTTGAGATAATAGTTATTATATGATCGTGCGAGTATGATTCAGACATATTCGTATGCTCTACTCTGTGACTTTTTAGTCGTGCGATTTGCCATTTACAAAGTCGGTGGGTTCGCCTACCCTACAGTTGGGGGGCATGCAGCATCCAATATTATATGACTAAGCAGCCAAAGGCTGCTGCCACCCTCACATCTGTATACTCGTATAAGCTCATAGATGGATTTCCTTCCTTTCCGTTGTGTTGTGCAATCAGACCGACACATAGTCGATGAACCCATGACGTAGCAGTAGGCATCGACCACTGTATTCACGTCGACGGGTCACCGTGTGCCATCACAAGCAGGAAGCACGGGCAGAGGGCGGTGCAGGTATTATAGTGTCTCGTTACTCCGTAGGGAAGTAGACGAAGAAGTAGAAGAAGAAACAGGACTTTTGTGCACTCGTGATGATGTGAAAAGAGGTCTGATTGCGTGATTTGCACATGCTTTGTATTTACGAGAAAGCAGATGGTTGGTATTTCGAGAGTGAGATGTAAGATGATGTACTCGTATAGATTGAATAAGGGAAAGAAGGGAAAGTAGGAGAGAAAAGAAGAAGGAAGATGATACTGTGACTAAGAATGAGCAATGCCAAGAATGCAGTAATACCTAAATAGAAGGTGAAGACTTTTCTCGTTCGCTTCTCACCATGAAGAATGAGATTTTTCTTTCTCGATGTCGCCATCGGGTTCGTGCGCGGCCTCTAGTGATATTATGTAATAATACCGTGATGTAGAGAAGAACGAGGCTTCCATATTAGGTATCGATACTCGTCTACCACTACGGAGTACATCGCGAAGTATATTTACCATGCTACCACTGTATGTACGTATAGTCTATGGAAACTAGGGGTACCCCCTACGCTTTCTGGGGTATCGTACGTAAAAGGATGGCTTGTTGCATTGATATAGGTTCGACTGGAATGACGTTGCTGCTGACCCCTGATGAGAATGACGGTCTAGAAGGACAGGGACTCGGGGGGAGAAGGAGAAGGAGGAAGAGAGAGACGGGGCTGGTCGGTACATGTATTCGTGCTGGTACTCTCCCGGTAGTTGTGATGAAGCTAGAGAACTAGGAACTAGGAACTGGAAACTAGGAACTAGGAACTTCTTAGTAGCCATACGAGCAACCAACCACTCGTACCAACTAAATGTACAGCTCATGTACAGCCAAAAAAGAGAGAGGGCCGGCCATGGCTATGCGTATAGAACATTGAAGGAGGGGAGAGAGACGCAAGGTTATGTCTGCCGCCCCATCGCCGGAAGTTTGCTGACATGACGCGAGAGAGGCTTGTTATGGCAGAAGCAGCAACGGACGATGCAGAGGGAGAGAAAGGAAGGAGGCTGACCCGAAGATCTTCGGTCACAGGAATTTTTTTTGGTCTCTTTTTTTTCTTCTTTTCTTTTTCTATAGTTTTAGTGTTGCTACCATGTAAGGTTGTATAGGATGCGGAGTAAGGTGTATTAATATATATATATATAGAGAGAGAGAGAAAGAGAGAGAGAGAGAATAGAGGTTTTTCTTTTCTCCTCTCTCGTCGTGCGAGGCTTTACAAAACTGCAACGGATTATTCTGTCCTCTCCTCCCTCCCCTCCCCCCCCTTTGACCTTGACCCCCTTTCCCTCCCTAGACAACCATTGAGAATTAGTTGAAGAGAGAGAGAGAGAGAGAGAGAAAGAGAGAAAGAGAGACAGATATACGCAATGACCTCTACCGATGAGGAAAGAGCCAAGAGGACGATTGACGATAGAGTCATTGCCTCGGTCGACGATCAAGTTTACGACGATGCAGGGCGGACATCGACTTCTGGCTCGGCCATGCGCTATGCTTACACTGAGGATCGTAAGATTGGCATCACCGGAGCCGTGTTTCTTATTCTCAACAAGATGATTGGAACAGGGAGTAAGTTGGGGTTTTTTTTTCTCTTAATTTTTTCATTTTCATTTTCATCTTCATTCTTCAACTTCTCTTCTTCTTCTTCTTCTCCTTCATTACTTTCCTTTACTTTTCTCTTCCTTTTTTTTTCCACATTGCATGTTTGACTGACCTTGGACGCACCTTCTCCTGCAGTCTTCTCAACCCCATCCAGCATCTTTGCGGCGACGGGCTCGGTAGGGATCTCGCTGATGCTGTGGATCGTCGGCGGCGTCCTGACCTTTTGCGGCATAAGCGTCTTCCTCGAGTTCGGGCTGGCCATCCCCCGCTCTGGAGGCGAGAAGAACTACCTGGAGAGGGTGTACCGACACCCGCGGTACCTGGCGACGTGCGTGCTGGCCTCGCAGATGATCCTGCTCGGCTTCTCGACCGGCAACTCGCTCGCGTTCGGGCGCTACGTCCTGTACGCGTCCGGGTGGGGCTCCAACGACGGCTGGCCGGCCCGCGGCGTGGGCATCGCGGCCATCACCTTCTCGGTCGCCCTGCACGCCGTCCTGCCAAAGTGGGGCATCAGGCTGGTCAACGTCCTGGGCGTCTTCAAGGTCGTTACGCTCCTCTTCATCGTCTTCTCCGGCTTCGCCGCCCTGGCCGGTCGCGGCAAGGACGTGCCGGAACCGAGGGCCAACTTCCGCCACGCCTTCGACATCGACTACGACATCGGCGGCGCCGGCGGCGCCCAGGCCTACTCCAACGCCATCCTCAACGTCGTCTACAGCTACAAGGGCTGGGAGAATGCAAACTACGTCGTGTCCGAGCTCAGGGACCCCCGAAAGACCCTCGCGGTGGCCGCGCCCCTCGCCGTCGGCGGCGTCACCATCCTCTACGTCCTCGCCAACGTAGCCTACTTCGCCGCCATCGGGAAGGAGGATCTCGCCAACTCCGAGGTCCTCGTCGCCGCCGTCTTCTTCCGCAACATGTTTGGCGACAGCGCTGGCGCCAACGTGCTGCCCGTCCTCGTCTGCCTCAGCAACTTGGGCAACGTGCTTGCCGTCTCGTTTGCCCATGCTCGTCTGAATCAGGAGCTCGGAAAGGAGGGTATCCTCCCTTTCAGCCGCTTCTGGGCTTCCAACAAACCGTTCAATGCCCCTTCTGCATCTGTGAGCCTCCGACATCCCCCCCCCCCCTCTCCTCCTCCATCCCCATCTCTCTCTCTCTCTCTCTATCCGTACATCCACCTATTCCATCCATGCATGCCAATATACTGACGACCTGCCAAGCTCTTCCTACACTGGATCGTCACCGTCATCATCCTCGTCGCCCCTCCCGCCGGCCCAGCCTACAATTTTGTCGTCAACCTCTACACCTACCCTGGCACCTGGATCAACGCCTTTGTCGGCGCCGGTCTCATCTACCTCCAGTGGAGTAAGAAGGAGAACTGGTCTTCGTCCTGGCACACGTACCTGCCCGTGTCGCTCCTGTGGCTCGCCTCCAACATCTTCCTCGTCGTCGTCCCCTTCATCCCCCCGACGGGCAGCTGGACGGCCGACGGGTACCCGTACTACATCTTCCCCGTCGTCGGAGTCGCCGTCCTGCTGCTGGGCTGCGTCTACTGGCTTTTCTGGTCTGTCGTCATCCCTCATCTCGGTGGCTACAGGGTTATCGCTCTGCGGTCCATTGACGAGACGGGCGCCGAGATTGTGCGGTACCGTAAAGTCAGACTCGAATAGGGTTTTTTTTTCCACTAGTTCGAGGGCATCTCAAATATTTCTAAGCTATGTTCATTTTTTTTTAATCAAAAATTCTCAATACCCCTTGGTTTTGCAGACAAGATCTTGTTGCTATTGTCGTAATAGCACCCGTATTGTACGCACTCGTATTGGGGAACAGAGCTCTCTGCATTGCAAAACAAAACTGCCATCTTCTACCTCCTCCAAGTATAAGGACATCGTTTACTGTATCCGTAAGCATCATTGAAAAATAGATCGTGAGAGGGAGGGGGGGAAAGGGAAAGGAAAGGGGGGAGGGGGGGTTGTCTATTCTGTATAAGAACTTCTGTACAAACAGAGCAACAGAGTGGTGAGAAGCAGGTCAAGGTCCATTCTCCGACTCAACCCAACGCCTCCAGTTGCTAAACTCTCCATATCCCACGCTGCACTTCTTGCCCTGGTACCTCGTGACGCGCAGGGGAAGCTCTCGCCACTGAGCTTGGCTGCCGACCCATCCGGCCTTGCGTGTGAGGCTGAAGAGGGCCTCCTCTCGCGTCCAGCCCTGCTCCGACGCCACGTCGGGTAGGTACGTGGACCCGTAGCGCCGTCCGCGGTCGGTAAACGACAGCCGGACGCCGTGCGTGCCCACGACCCAATCGTACGGGTCGTCGACGGGTTCAAAGTCGGTGAGCAGCGTGACCGACACGCGCAGACGGGGCATCTCGCGTCGGGAGATGGGCGAGAACCGCGTGTCCTGCAGCGCCGAGATGAGGGCGTACTCGGGCACGCCCTCCGACAGAGGCTGGGCCTGGAAGGTACCGATGCACCCACGGAGGTTGTAGTCTTCGTCATCTTCGCCGTCTCCGTCCCGGGCGTCGTCGCTGTCGGCGATGTCCCAGGTGACGAACAGGGGGGCCTCGTCCGGTATGTTGCCAGCCACGACGGATGCCAGGGACACGGACGAGGCCGGCGTCGAGGGTGCACCGCCGATGGACACGGACGAGTTGGACGAGGCCGACGAGGTGGGGGACGAGTCCGCGGCGGCATCCGCTGCCACCCGCGTCACAGCGGGGTTCCGGGGGCCGGCTGCATCCTTGTTCTTGTAGGCTGTGTAATCGTTCCACGAGGACTGTATCTCTTCGAGGGAGAGGGGCTTCCGCTCGGAGTGATGGGCGTCTAGGACCTCGAAACAGGCGATGCAGTGGACAGGAGTGGCCATGACGGGGTCGTTGGCGGTCTACCGATTCGTAGAAGGGCTCTCGGGGCGATCTCTCGGGGATCTCTCTCGAGTAAGGAGGAGGGAGCAGGTGCTGTCTCGTAGCAGCGCACGGGTTCTGTCGTGTTAAGAATGGTGAGATGGAGATGCCAGAATCCCCCCTCGTCAAGAAAGATACCCAAGAGGGGAAAAGAAGGCGAGCGGGATAAGAAAGAGGAGAGAGTCAACTGGCGGGGTAATATGTGTGAGTGTGAGCGAGTGTGTGTGTGTGTGTGCGTGTGTGTGCGTGAGTCTGTGAGTTGAATGTGAGAGTGTGTCGTCATGGCGCTCTACAGTTTCGAGTTAGACTCCGACCCACCCCCGCAACGATTTGAACAATATTTGTGCAGATAATGCATAAAAAGGATTAATCGAGCACAAACATAAAAAGAACAATAATCCATGATCAGCACAAGTCGTGGATAATATTTTATGCGGTGAGAGTATGCAACTGTACGCCGAGGGTGGATCGCACAAATCACCCCCCCCCCCCAACGGCCAAAACGACTTGATACAAGGCTGCGACGGCGGATAGCCCATCAACCGTTTCACCCCCGACGGCTCCGGCCTCGTATTGTGCCCGTTCAGGATACGGTGGTGATAGAGACCCCAGTTCATATTGTGTTATGGACCCCTCTGTCCCCCCCACCGGGACCGAGTCCCTGACGTCTCATGGCCCTGACCTACCGTTCGAGTTCCGGTGCAACCCATGCTTCAACAAATGCAGGGGAGTTGCCTCTCGGACGGATGAGAGTACGGGTAATGGTGTATATATAACCTGCTCAACGTCTTGACCAGCATCAGGTTCTTCTCTCTCTTCTCCTCTCTCTCTCTCCCTTACTTACATACCTCTCAACCAACAAAGCCTTTCCTTTCCATCTTCTCTTCTTCTTTCTCGCCCTCTTACCATTTTCATTCTTTGTCGCCGGCCGACCCTTTTTACAACAACAACAACAACAACAACACATTCTCTCGCCAAAATGAAGTTCTCTCTCCTCTCCCTCGTCGCCCTCCTTACCGTCACTGCTTCGGCTCTGACTCCCTTCCAGCCTGCTCCTGGAGGTATGTATTCTATGTCCTGAAGGTCTTGGGAGGGTTTGCTGTTGGCAATGGAGTAACTGACAACTCTTGTGTGTGTGTGCGCGTCAAGGCTTCGAGGTCCGCATGAAGCGCCAGCAGAACAAGCCCGCCGTCCAGGTTGGCGCCATGACCGACGCTGACGGCAACGTCGTCCCCTACAACCGTGAGGGTGCCAAGCGCGCCAGGAGGGTCAAGGCCAGGCGCGCCATCGAGGCCGAGATGCACAAATAAGTCGTGCAGCTGTCGTGGTCTTTGACTCCCAGCCTCTCGGAGGCCAAATCTGCTCTTCCTTTGTAACTTTTCATCTCTGGCATGATGGTTGTTTTTGTTTTCTTTGCTTTGTTGCTCGGGTCAGGGACCCAGCTCGTCCAAGCAGGTCTGGTCTCACTTCATCTATACGCATGATCGACCAGCCTTAGCCTGCATATAGACGTCATGGCTTGTCTTCCAGTCAAACAGCCGTTGATTCTTTAATAAGACTTTATACCAAAAGAGAGAGAGAGAGAGAGTGTGTGTGTGTGTGTGAGAAACCAAAACAAAAAAAAAGAAGAGTTATAAAAAGCAAATGTGCAAAAAGCAAATGTGCAAGGTGCAAGAATGATGTGCCGTCGAGAGGGGAGATCGACGTCGATGATGAAGAGAGGGCTGCGTGACATTCTCCACGTCTACTGCTTCTAATAATATATACAAAGTCTCATTTTCGCGTCTTGGTCGATATAAATCAATACATCGGGTTGACGATGGTGGATCACCAACTTTCCTCAACAGTTGAACAGTCCAACTACTCGTACACCGCTCCTCAAGCACTTGGTACCCTCATAGCAAACCCCTTGAATGGTATCAACTGAAATAAGCCATTAAATGATCACAAGTTTAAATGAGTCTCACCATCAATGTGATCAACCACCAGTATAGAAGGGACTTCGAGTCAGCCTAGCGGGTCTTGACCAAGATGACGAGGTGGATCGGGCTCCTCATCTCAGTAATCAAGACATGGATAGCTGCATGCATGCTGCGACTGGGGGACAGAGCAACTCGCACAACGCGTGCAAGCAAGGCCGCTTGCGATGCCACCGTGAATGGCATGCAGTAATACTGTACCGCTCCGAAGGATTGAAGCCGTGCTATGATGTATCATCCTCACAGGCTCCGGTCTTCTTTCACACCGCACAATCTCCGTCCAGCGATGCTATTCCCGTTCTCCCCCACAAACCTGCATCGTACACCAGAGCCACGAGGTGTAGAGAAGGGCAATAACGTCCTGAGCCCTTCCGCGGAGGGGGCCGGGGGAGGGGGGGGGGAGAGGGATTTCGACGGGCTCAGCACTGCCTTGCCAAGACCTTCCTTCACACGTAGATGGCGCGTCTCGAAGCCCACGCCATGCCTAGGTGATAGGCGACATGACGGAACCGCCAAGGTGTATTGTTGCATGCGCAAGTGCCCCGCACCTGGTCACGGAACGGCCATGCACTCTGAATTGCTGTCGGGGAACAAGAATAGAATAGTACTAGCAAGACCGGGTTGGTCGTGGAGGGAAAAGTCAGCCACGATGCTCTCTGGTTGGACGTCTGACCTGTCCTAGCTAGGAGGTCAAGGGTGGAGAGCGTAAGCAGACATCCGCTCCCCTTGCTCTCTTTCTTGTACCCAGTACGGGGATATCGGGAGCTTCTATAAAGTCCAAGAGCATGGCGCACAGTCGTCCAAGAGAGCAATGCAACCCGTCCATCTCCTCGGTATACACATACGCCGAACAGCTGGTACGTTAGCCAGACAACGTGTTATACGAAGAAGAGAAGAAAGAAGAGGAAGAAGGAGGAAATGGCCAGTCTGGGCGCTCAGGCCAAGTTCGAGAGGGCCAGATGGCGTCTGAGCTTCCTCTCTCCCATGTGGGCTCTCCAGCTGGGCCTTGCCCTCGCCATGGTTGGCATCTTCAGCTGGCAGTTGGGCACCTGTGTCTATCAGTACGCCACCGACGGCGACAAGACCGGTTTTCCAACCTTTGAAGTTGTGTAAGTCTTCATCTCCCCCCCCCCATCATCTCATCTCCTTGACCTGCTTTTCCTCTTCTTCTCCTTCTCCTTCTTCTCTTTATTGTATAAAAGGTCCTTGCTAACAGTGTTCCAGCTGCGAGTCCGTCGGCATCGTCCTGTCTTTCGTGGCCGCCGTGTGCGCCATCTTCACCGTTGCGAGATACTTCGCCGAGGCTCTGACGCCGTGGGCCGTCATCGTCGCGCACATCATCCAGCTATCGTGCGGCGGTGCCGTCCTGGCCGTCCAGGCCGTCGCCCACGTGAATGGCGTCAGACGTCGCTGCTTTGTCCTGGTACTGGTATTTGGCAGCATCTTGGTGTAGGTACCCTGCCCCCCGTGCAGTCTGTGTCCTCGCTCACCTGCAGTGTGGATGGTGCTGATGAGAGTGCAGATGCTCTTCCGGAGCCCTGGCCGTGTACGCCATCGTCGCCCGCCGACGTATATCGTCCTACACCCACTCCTACACCCTCGACATCAAGGGTTACAACTTCGACAGCTCCAACGGCTCCGTGCCGCGCGGCCTCCTCGACAGGAGCCGTTTCTCCTCGGCCTCCTCCCGCACAAGCTACCTGTCCTCTACGCGCCAGAGCTCCGGGGGCGCCTACCAAGGCGTGGCCGCCACCGATCCTACACCTTCCCCGGCGGACCCCAGGGCCGCCTACAGCCACGAGCGCAGCACCGAATTCGACAAGTTTGTCGCTGCGCGCCGCCAGTTGCCCGCCGTGGAACCGGGTGTCTGGCACGGCCGGGGTCGCAGCAGCAGCGGCGGCACCAGCAGCCTCGTCTCCCCCCTGTCGGCCGACGACGCCGACGCCGTCGTGCACCTTGGCACCGTGCCGGTCACGTCGACCACGAACCGTCCCGGCGAGGCCAAGGCCACCAGCGACCGGGGTCTCGTCTCGGTGCCCGAGGAGGAGAGAAGCAGCATCTACAGCGGCGATGACGGCACCGGGTCTGTAAAGACCCAGGGCACCACGCAGACCGTCATGCTTGAGCGGGCTAGGGCTATGCACTCCCTGCTCGGGAGCGGGTACAGCAAGGTTAGCAGCGACGATGATGAGCACCACGCCGCAACGTCTAGGGTACCGGAGCGCATCGTCGTCTCGCCGCCGCATGAGGCCCCGGTCCTGCCGGAGCTGGAGTGGATGCGGGGGAGGTGATGGAGAGCCGAGCTTTCTCTTTCCCTTCTTCTCTCCTCTCTCGCCCTTTTCCATTTTTGTACTTTCTTCTCTTCTCTCCTCTCTTCTTGTAACATGGAGTTCTGGACACGTCAATGATACCAATGGTGAGATCATATTCTTAGTTTGCATAGCGTATCCGGCTCTTCATCCCATCTTCTCGTCGCCGGGTAAATATGCCTCGGAGATGGGGGACATCTATACATGCACTTGGCATAAAGTCGTCATATCAAACAAGTTCAAGTCTCGGAAAACGGGACACGGCAACGTTGGCAAAAAAAAAAAAAAATACACGTATGCATTATTCATTTCATCGAAGACAGAGGATGGCTAACGGACCGTTGAGCACGCCAGCACCATCTAGTGTGTGCGGTGAAGGTCAGCGGGCTTGACAATGACCCAGTTCTTGTCGGCGGTGACGGGAAGACCCTCGTCCCTCTGGGCCTGGGAGAAGTCCTTGATCATGGTGTCAATCTCGCTCCTGGTTTCGTTGCTGCGCTGGACAAAGAGGTGGATGCCGCCGCGGTCGACGTTGACGCCGTGGAAGATCATGGGACCGTCGCTGTCGGGGGTGTCGCCGGCGGCGAGTACGGGCCTCTTCCACTCGTCGATGTAGGCGAGGATGGCGGACCACTTGCCCGTCTTCCAGGTGGCGGGGGCCCAGAGGAACGGGATGATGGAGGAGTCGAGGTTGCGCTGGCGCGCGGCGGCGGTATATTCGCCCTGGTCGATCTGCTGGCGCGCGGTCGTGAGGTGGCCCTGCCTGTCCTTGAGGAGGGCCGAGACGCCGATGACGTTCTCGGGCGGCACGTTGTAGCCGTACCTGGGGTCCGAGGCCACCATGCGGACGAGCTCCTCGGCCGCGGCGCTGATGACGTACACCTTGATACCGTTGGCCATGAGCCGGTTGTACAGCTCAACCTGGCCCTCGAACACGCTGGGCGGCTTGATCTCCATCGTCGCCAGCGACCCGTCCGAGCCAAAGTACGTCGTCGGCACCGTCGTGTTGAGCGCCATGAGCTCGTCCACGTAGCCCTTGAGCTCGCGCAGCGGAATCCCGCTGAAGGCCTCCACTATCCACGGGTAGCAGATGTCGTCGGCCATGCCGCACAGCCGGTCGTAGTAGCTGTACAGCGACTCATTGTGCGTCGCCGTGTCCTCGAACGGGATCAGCTTCAGGAACGGGTCGATGGTGTCGCGCGTGAGGACCCCCTTGTTCTCCAGGTAAGGGAGGAGCGCCTCCTCCAGGTCATTCTGGTAGCTCGTGTTGTCCATGTCGAAGACGGCATAGCTGCCATTGTTGGCATTGGCCGCAATCATCTTGTCGAGCGCCTTGGCCGCCTCACGAGGCCAGTGCTTGAGCTCGGGGCCCTTGAGCTTGTCCTGCGCCGTCGGGGCCGCGGCGCTCAGGCCGGCCGCCAGGAAGAGGGCATTGGCGATGGAAAATCTCATCTTGGGAGGCGCGTGAAGAAGGGACGGGGGAAGAAGACCGAGAAGAGCGAATAGATTGGCTTGGAAGGGATGGGGGGGAACAGACACAAGTTTCAACAAACAAGGAACCAGGGTGACGGGCCCCTATATATCACCTGCACGAGCACTACCGTACGATTGATTAATTACGCGAACCCTACATCATAGCAAACACCTTCCAGTTCTTCTTTCTTGGGGTTCGGCGATGCCGGCAATTGCTTCCGTGCAGATAACGAGGGAAAGATTTCCTATCCTAGTTAATCAACAGCAATGGGGTATCGGCGACGTCAATGCTGTTGCATACGGACTAGCTTCAACTTGATCCCTGTACTCCTCCATACGAGAACCTGTTGGTGGCCCGGATACTTTGGGATTTCGGCGTGTCCCGGCCATGGTTCCGGGCTCTGCAACGCGCGTCATACGTACGAGAGCGAGCCACTGCGGCTGTCGGTTGGCATCAGTATTGGTCAACAAACGCTCGCGATACACGTTAGTATGTATGTATCAATGTCTGGTCGAGGACGATAATGTCGGTCCTCAAATACATGCACGTCGAGATAGGAAAACGGGGCTGGCAATCCCCGAAATCACCATGTGGGCCCTCCCGCGCTCCGGGTGCGTCGATTTCAAATGCCGCGTTTCTAACAGCTTCTGATTGTAATCGTGTTTTTATTCCATTCTTTTCATCTTCTTTGACGGAAGTCCCTGCTCCCAATGCCAAGGATGTCGGTTTTTTTTTTATAAAAAAAAAAAAAAACACATGTTGCAACTCCGGCTCGTAGTCCCCGTTTTGCAGAGCGGGCAAGCAATCCTCACGATATTACATGTCGAAGACACCGATACGGTAGTTGGTGGACTCTCATAATGCTCTGTCCAGACATTGGCCAAGGAACTCTCCTCCAGAAACAGCTCACATATGCCTTACATCTACAGCTTAGTTTCTGTTATGTCGATCTCGCCGCAATGGGAGCAGGCGTGCGAGATTGCTACTGTGACCTCTGGCCCAAGTCCATCATGACCGATGTTATGGTCTGAGCGGAGAGGGACTCGACGGGGACGTTGAAGGCACGTAATCGAACCATGGAAATCGCTGATGAACCCACCCTGAGGCCGACAAGGTAGAGAGGCCAGCCAGCCAGCATGCATCGCACTGTCATACGTCGCCGGTCACCTGTCGCAACTAGCCGTCGACTAGTATGGACATGGCCATGTAGAATGTGAAGGGTTGCCACGCTCTTCCTAACCAGCAGTGCAGCCTGCATGCAAGCATGTAGTATATGTAATATGGATACACAGACAGTCATGTGATCTACGGTCGTGCACGGTCTTACAGTCACATTGAAGTTCCATTGCATCTCCTCGATCCCGCGCGTTCAATATCAACAGGATAGATCCAAGCGGGAGATGTTTCAGCCAGTCATCATCGCATTTGACCTTTTCGGCACCATTCTGTCGACGGCATCCATAGCTCGCTCGTTGGCGGACCTGTATGGCCCAGAGACTGCGCAGAAGGTAGCCGATATCGCTCGAACGCTCCAGCTAGAGTATACGTGGCGGGCCAACAGCATGGGTATTTTCTTCGATATTCTTCCCCTTCTCCCTGAATCTCGACGCTCTACTCTATCTGCAAACACCAATGCTCCCAGATCACACACGGCTGACAGCGAGTACGGGGCAACAGGTGTATACGAGCCTCTGGATGACCTGACTCGCCATTCGTTCCGCGAGGCCGTCGTGGCAGCAGGATGCTCGTCGGCTTTGTCATCCTCACAGGAAGACGTCATCATGCGGGCATACGACCGACTGGATCTGTTCCCAGACGTACGCAGCGGACTGGAACGGCTAGTCAAGGATGGCGTCGACGCATGGGCCTTTTCGAACGGCACGCGTTCCATGATGCAGGCCACGTTATCATCTGCAGCCGCGTCGGCGTCTCCCGATGGAGATCTGGTAGGCCGCGTGTTCCCCACCAGGAAAATGGTCAGCGTGGACGATGTCGGCGTCTTCAAACCTCATCCGTCCGCATATCAATACATGAGGGAGGTGGTCGAGGGCGTCGACAGCCATGGCAAGGCACTCTGGCTCGTCAGCTCCAATCCGTTTGACGTAGTGGGAGCGACGGCAGCTGGTTACTGGACGGCGTGGATCGATCGCAACGGGAAAGGATGGGTCGACGGGCTAGGCAGTGCGATGAACATGGGACCGACAGTCGTGGTGGGTGGCATGGACGAAGCCGTCAAGGCCATTCTCGAGTACACGGGTTATTGATGAATTCAGTACTCTTCCTCCTCCTCCTTCCCAAGTTTCCCGAGTTCATCTATACATCTATACTACGTCAGTCCATTCTAATCTCATCACCACCTCATATGACAGGCAAATCTCGAATCACGGAGACAAGAGGGGGGGAGGGTTTGGGGATGGGGGGGGAGAGAAAAGATGGGCTCATCAGGTACATTCATATTCTAAAACATAAAGTGGTAGGCACGCTTCCAGAGCGGCCAGCTTCGCTTATGATCCTCTTCGGAATCGGGTTTGGCACGCAGCCTCGAGTACCGCCTGCCGGTGTCGATGTCCATGTCCTCTATCTTGACGACGGAGGTGCGGAACCAGAGTTTGTGGCCGGCCCAGAAGATGAGCACGATGGGAAGGGCCATGATGTCGAGGAAGAAGTTCTGGGCGATCTCCCCCGGGGAGAAGGCGTCCTGGCCGACCTGGCTACTGCCGCCCTTGACATCGCCTTGGCGGGTGCTGCCGTCGGCGGCCGTGGGGATGGGCGACACGCCGAGCCAGATCTGCGATGCCAGCACCAGGACGTAGCCCACCAGGGCGATCCAGGAGCCGGCCAGGCCGACCTGCGACCGGAAGGGGATCTCGTGATCGGCGTGGCCGGCGGCCTTCCAGGCGGCGCGGAAGCGGATGTGGCACAGGCAGATGCTGATCCAGGTGAAGAGGCTGGACAGGCCGCTGATGGCCAGCAGCCAGTCGAAGATGACGCCGTGGTTCTCCACGTCGGCCAGGTACGCCAGCAGCCCGACCGACAGCGTTGCGATGATGGACAGGAGCGGCCTGCCCTCGCGGTCCACGTAGGCCAGCAGGCGCGGCGCCTGCGACTGCTCGGCAAGGGCGGCCAGGGTGCGCGACGACCCGAACACGGACGAGTTGCCGACGCTGATGACGGCAATCAGGATGACGGCGTTCATGACGCCCGGCAGGACCGCCACGCCGGCACTCTCGATGGCGATGACAAAGGGGCTCGCACGCGCGTCGACGGAGCTCGTGCCGCCCAGGAGCCGCGGCTCGTCGTAGGGAACCAGCAGGCCGACCAGCAGCAGGGTGACGATGTAGAATATGGTGATGCGCCAGAAGACCTTCTTGATAGCGCTGGGCAGCGACTTGCGCGGGTTGGCCGTCTCGGCCGCCGCCAGGCCTATCAGTTCCGTACCGGCGAACGAGAAGGCGGCCGTCACCAGCACGCTGCAGAAGCCCCTGAAGCCGTTGTTGAAGACCCCCGGGTCCCGCCAGTACTTGGCTCCGATGTATCCGCTTGTCGGGGTGCCTCCGATGTTGATGACGATGCCCAGAAGACTTTTTTTGTTTTTTTGTTTTGTTTTTTGTTTTGTTCGGGTCAGCCGGTCCTGATGTTGACAGCACAGCCAGCGCAGAGACGACATGCTGTTTCGACCGTACTCACATGAATCCGACGACAGCCGTCACCTTGATGATCGAGAAGAGGAATTCGGCCTCACCGTAGCCCTTGACACCAAACATGTTGATGACGACGATGCCGCATAGGAAGATGGTGACGAAGATGGCATTATCCAGTCCGTGGTTCCAGTAGTCGGTCGTCAGAGATGCGGCGATGATCTCGAGGGGCAGGGTAACGAGCCATTGCAGTGCGTAGCTGTTTTGTGCGCGTGTGTCGCTCCCGGTCAGCATGATGCACGGGACGGCGCGGTAACTTTGGGGGGTTCCGATCAAACCTACTTCCAACCCATAGCAAAGCCCCACGAAGGGTCGAGGAACCGCGTCGTGAGTGCAGAAAAGGAGCCTGCGACGGGAAATGACACGACCAGCTCGCCGAGGGCCTGGACGGTGCAGAACTGGACGGCGCCGATGGCGGAGTAGGCCAGCAGCAAGGAGATGGGACCGCCACGGTTGAGGGCGAGCCCGGAAGCGACGAAGAGACCGGTACCTATGGGGGAGAGGGGAAGATGTCAGATGAAATGGTGGACTGGGGGGGGGGAGTAAAAGATGGCCATACCGATGGATCCGCCGATGGCAATCATCTGCAGATGGCGACCCTTGAGCTCCCGCGCAAGCGCGGTATGCGAGGTCCTCGCATTGGCGGCGCGCAGATCGTAGAATCGCGACTCGGCCTCGACATTCCCGCCCAGGGTGACGGAATTGAGGGAGGCGGCGGGCGAGGCTTGGCGGAAGCTGTCGATCCAATGCTTGACGCTGGATTTCTTGACGTCGTCGTTGAAGTCGTCGGGCTGGCCGGTCGACACCATGTAGCTGGACGGCATCCAGAATTCTGGCGGTCGGGACTTGCTGTTCCTCCTACTGCCGCCTCTCGTGTGGTTGTCATGGTTCTGCTGATGCTCTCGGTCGTCTCCGGTGCTGGCGTCGGCGGCGGCGGCCATGTTGGCCATCTCGATCACCTCGAAGTCGCGGGTGTATGTGATGCCATTATGTGGCGTGTCTCTGCTAGCAGCAGAATTCGAACGGCTCGCCATGTTTCTTTCCTTCATCTTCTTCTTCTTCTTTTTACTCTCGGGCCTTCCTTCGATCCCTATCGTCGGTCCTCGGGGGGAAATCAAAAGGAGAGGAATGGAACAGGGTCAGCCTCCCCCCCCCTTCCCCCAAATAGTAAGAAATGGATAAAAAGGATAATAATAAAAAAAGATATAAAAAAAATTGTTAAAACAGTATTCGCGAAGGGAAATGGGAGAGAGGGTGGGGGGGGGGACAGGAAAAAAAAATTTGAGAAATATTAATACTAGTGTCGCAGAGCCTGGAACCAAAGTCCACAATATCGGCATGTGGCTATGTAACCGGACTAGGAACAGCTTGGAGGGTTTGACGATGTATTATCATGCGGGTATATGTCATGACGATTGATCAAGTCCTAGTCTATCACGCCATTGGTTTCATTGAGAGGGAGAGAAAAAGAGCGGGAGACAGACCTCGTTTCTCTCGGACCCTGACTCCCTCTACCTCGTCACTACCATGTGTATACGATATACAAGATGTATAGATTACATGTACTCCGTAGACTGCTCGTAACTATCACATGTACTAGGGAGAGAGGAGTGCATGCATTGTGTTCCATATGATATTGCTACCAGTGATAATATTATAACAGATGATAGGATAGATAGATATACGAGGTTGCGAGGATGGTAAGGATAGTGGTAAAAGAAAAGCCACTGGTTCATACCGAGTAATCTGTACAGTTCCCCCATTACAAGAACAGAATAAATACGATCCCTGTTTTGCATTTCCACGCGCGCCCGTCGATAGGGCCCAGGGTCATCAACCCCGGTGCGACGTACGAGTATTACCCGTACATGTAATCTGTAATGTGATGTTCAACTTACGAGGTACGAGATGTCCTGGATTGATAGTACCCGTACAAGTTTAGTGCTCGTACATGTTTAGTACCCGTACATGTGCTCGTAGCAATACGATGACAACTGCCAGTAGTCCTAGCATCAACTGCCGACTACGAAGTCGACGGACTTGTACATGTGGTATATGTATGCGACCGGACCGTGGTAGAACCCTCTTGATTCGGCCAAAAAACATTCCCCCCTGTCCAACGTCCCGTTCTTCTCATGGTGATAGGAAGACCAAGCTCTGCTAATCAGAAAGCCGCATGGCCCCTGTTACCCTCTTCCTCCCCCTGCCCTAGCCTAGGCCCCCTTTCTTTTGCTTCCCCTCCCTCCTCCTCTTTCGTATGCGTGCCGTGACTTTGGATCGAAACTTTTGTCTTTTCTCTTTGGCAGCATCGTAGTCTATCTCGTTCGGTCCCACCGACTGATGTATATACGATGCAGGGGAAAGGAAGAGGAAAGAGATAGAATCGTACGAGTCAGGAAGAAGAAGGAGGCAGGGACGAAGAGATACTGGCCAACCATTGAACGCTGCCAAGTGTGTCGCGGCGTGTACATTCGCCGTTGTCGTCGAGTGTATCTTTGGTGGAGAGAAAGAGGACCAAGAAAAGACTCACCCAAGTTGAAGACAGCCACACACACACACACACACACAGCTCATCTTGTTTTCTTTTCTTCTCGCACAGAATCTTGACCATGTACGGATGCTTGTTCATGGTATCGCTCTGACTTGTATGTACCTTCTTCAATCCTTAAACCTCTCGACTTTCCCTATGGCCATCATCGTCATCTAACCTGTACATGTACACCCAAACCCAAGTCACTTGCAAACCCCCGGGAGCCGTCCAAGAGACTAGCAATCCGAAATAACCGAAACCACAGCCTACATGTATATAGTGCAAGCCCGTAGTCTCGTCTCAGACCGATAGCGTATGTGTTAGTCTGTGTGCAACGTAAGACGTATCCATCGGTATGGGGTTAAGTAGGGAGTCTCTCCCTAAACTTGACGGCTTGTAATGGCATTATTGATAATAATGCCGTCTTGTAATGAATACTCGTTTCGATTTGTTATTCCCCTCTTATTGCCAATTTTTGTCTTGTTTTTCTTTTTCAAAAAAAAAAAAATTCAAAAAAAACCCCCCCAACTTTCGAAAGGAGAGAAAAAGAAATCGCTGCTTTCTGTCCCATCCATCCATCCACAAGTGCCAAAGCCTGGGTATCTGTTGATGTCATCGTATACTCTATTGATGTCATCACATAGTAAAACTAAAAATAAAATAAAACAGAATAGAAAGGAACACGACATTAACAAGTTCATCTCCCATGTCCACTGTACAGATGTGCCAGACCCCGTCCATTCTGCACGGTTCATGACGCACCTCTTCGCAAAGGTGCCTGGACCACTGGGGAAGGTGGTCTGAGGAGGTGGGGGTCGCCGAACTGGTCACCGGCATCGACAGCTGACGCGCGGGATGCTCGCTGATAAGGATGGATCAGCGAAGAGCTGCTCTCTGCCGGGCTGACAGGTCGGTTGCCTCCAGTAGCGGTGGTGGACGCTTTGCTGGGCTCCCGCCGCACTCCGTCGCCGCCGGCGCCGTCGTCGTCGTCGTCCCCTTCGGTCGAATCCATGTCCCGCGCCCACGCCGCAGCCGCAGTCTTGCTCTGGGCCTGGTGGCTGGCCCGGCTGTACCTGCTCTGCAGGGCAGCCTCCCACTCGACCGCGGCTGCGGCCGTGGTCGTGGCCGTGGCCGTGGCCGTGGCCGTGGTGCCCATCGTCCACCGGCGGGACCCGTCGGCTGCCGCGCTGCTGCTCTGGCCGTAATCCCCTCCGGGCCTGTACCGCACCTTCTTGACGCCCGTGTCGCGCAGGAAGGAGCCGACGGCGACGACGTTGGCCACGGCCGTGGTGGCCAGGATGTCGACCGAGGCCCAGGTCGACCGGACCACCTGGTCGCCGTGGCGCTGGACGATGCGCGCCACACGGTACAGGGTGACGCCGACCGTCAGAAAGCCGAAGCTGAAGAGGAGGACGAGGAGCAGCTTGCGCTTCGGCGCGATCCGGCTCCGCACAATCATGGGGATGGGGAAGATGACCAGCACGACGTCCACGGCCGCGCTCGAGATGCCCATGGTGAGAAGCTGGGCCATGCCCTGGCGGCACTGAGGTCCCGGGTCGGGCACGACCTGCCAGTAGTGAGAGGCCGGTCGACACTCGGCGAGATCGCTGACGACGACGGCGAGGAAGGACGCTCCCAGCGCCCATCGGAGACCTGTCGTGATGCGCGTGTACCTCTCCTTCCTGGCTGAACCGCCCAGGCGAGCCAGGAATTCGACCGTAGCAAACTTGAGAACCCACAGTCTGTTGATTTCGAGTGTCAGGTTGGATGTATCGGAGATAGAATTCAGCAAGAAGCCCCCCCCCCCCCCCCCCCCCCCCCCAACCCCCCCCCCCCCCCCCCCCCCCCCCCCCCCCCCTCCCCCAGCCCGCAAGATGTCATGTGTAGACTCACGTTGCTGCATAGAAGATGCGCGATGCAAGGACCAGACGACTCCCGATGACACGACGGCGCACATCCTGTCCCGAGAGGTCGATTCCGTCGAGGTCGACATTGTTGGTCCCGTACACGAAGACCAAGTGTATGCATGCCATGCGCAGGTACAGCGGCAGGAGGGCCACGGCCACGACCCTGTCCTCGATGAAGAGCTTCTCGACACGGACGTAGCGACCCGACAGGCGGAGGAGTATGATGCAGGTAGAGAACAGGGTGATCCACCAGGCCACCAGCAACTGCGGCTTTGCCTCGCTGAATGGCGTGGCCGACGGAGGTGAGGAGTACAGTCGAGCCATCGATGACCGAGCGCTTTCCTCCCGCTCGCTCAGCGGGAGACGTCAGTATGGTTGATGAGCACGACAAGAACTGGAATCTGTGCCTTTCCGTGCATGCGTCAGGTCTGCTGTCATTCCTCCCCGATCTTCTTCTACAGGATATCAGGATAGTAGAAAGGTGAGATGGGGCCTGTGTACATGGAAACACATGTAACAGATGACATGACAGTTCGTCCCCCCCTCCCCCCTCCTCCCCCCTCCTCCCCCCCCCCCCCCCCCCCCCCCCCCCCCCCCTTCGCAATGCCATCGTACCAGGGGACTGATTACAAGAGTACATGTAATCTGTACGTCCTTTCGTTCTAGTCCTTGGGGAAAGGGAAAAAACAGTACGATCAATCATAGAGCAAGGGTCGTAATATGTCGTAGGGACGGTGTGGACCAGAACGGGCGATCTGTATCCACTTGTCCATGCAAGCCAATCTCTTCGTTATCATTGAAGAAGGATAGTATTAATACTCTGTACCGCTGCCGTTACTACTACTGCTACGACTACTACTCGTACTGATGCTAATCATACCAGAAAGAAAAAAAGAAAAAGAAAAAACACCGACGAGTGATATGATGCGTGGCGCATAACCGGGCCTATCCTAGCGCTCGTCACTCGCGATGCGTGATGTATCTCGGGAGAGGATAGTCAGTCGGAAGGGGGTGGGGGGAGGAGACGACATCGAATCAGAGGCCGTCCAACAACTTACGAGCGAGTGTCGAGGATTCGCCATTCACCCAGACGAATGCGACCATGTGCGATACCTCCTTACGAGTGAGTGCTCGTACACGTATCGAGAGCTGATGATACGCCAGCGCGACGGGCACCTTTGTCCGCGATTGGACGATAACATTCTTCGGTGGCGGCGCTCTGAGTGTAAGAGGCATGGATTAGCGAGCGAGTAGGAAGACTTGGACGTCTTGCTGATCGACGTCCTTGGTCCGTATCAACGGCCACCCGCCCACCCTTGTCCCGGCTGCGGGCTGCGTCCTGAATGCTGATTGCTCCAGATGTCTAATATGAACCGTGCGAGACCGCCGCCACTCGCAGCTGGGACTTGCTAGCAAGGGCATAGGGGAGGGACTCATTTCATTCGGCGGCAGGGTCATCTCGGTGGCGAAGGCTTCGTCTGCATGTAATTGCCCACCGACATCGACCGCTGATTTATGAGGATGGACATTGAAGCTGATCCCCGACATGGGTCGGTATCCCTGTACTCCGTATCAATGTGCCCAGGTTGGAGAAGTGGGATGACAGTAAATATGGATCACCGTTTGCTGCAAACGTCCTACCCGTACATCATTCGAGCGCGAGTAACAGTAGCAACAAGAGGTGACCTAGCCAAGCAGGGTAGAGGAAGCGTCGTCTAGTACAGACAGGTTACAAGTTCGAGTATCTTGTCCAGTTCCAGCTGCAAGACTGTAGTATAAAATTGTATAGTACACCGTACGAGTAATAGTCCATCGGCCGTTCTCCAAATCCGGTTATTGCATACAAGTCTTCTATACAATTTCCACAACGAGGCTTCCCTCCAAACCCCAACCCCCAACCCAACCCCCCTCTCTTCTGACATTACGAGAACTGGTAGATGTCTCTACTGAGTCGGGAGGCTCTGGAGCATACAATAGTCAGTCCTAAACTGTTCATCTCTCTACACCAGAAACAAGATTATAGAATAAAATAAAAAGGCTTCCCAGCTTTGCCGTATCACGCACGAGCCAGGCCACGAGGTGACGAGGGATCGGGACAATGCGCGGCATCTATGAGAAGACCGATTCAGCATTCAGTCCGGGGGGGAGGGGGGGAGGGGGGGGGGACCATGCACTTGTATGCTGTATCAGGTATCATAGGGGTCGTTCCCCCAGTGATCCTGCATGCAAGTATATTACCAATGTACGAGCACTTTGCATCTGCAGCTCGAACGGTAGATGTAGATAATACGCCCTCGAGCCCAGATGAGGACGAAGCCCCGTTGGCCGTCGAGACATGCCATGGGAAGCCTCTCTCTCGCTGCTCCTGCATCCACAACGGTCGTCCCCGCCGTGTGCGTGTACAGAGCTCGAGTATTACAACTCTGGAGTACGGGTGCGGAGTGCTCAGGGACATCCGGAAAGTCGGAGGCAGATTGGATGGGTCTCTGGAGGAGGAAGAGTACAGGCCAAGACAGACTGTCGAGGGGTGGAGGATGAGAGATCTGTAGGGTAGTTGGCAGTCTCTGACTGACGGGCAGCTGTCAGGCTGTGAAGATGATGTCTGGGATAGTATCGATCGAGCTCGTAATGTGCTCTCGCTGCGTTTCTCGTTCGCCGGGACGGGACTTGTCTGATCGTTCGGGTTGTCGACCTGGTCACAGTCCGTTGCCGCCAATGGGCATAGGACAGCTGTTCCTTGCAGTGTGATTCGATGGTAATGGGGGGTTGGTTATTTAGACGAGAAGAGATAGAACAAGATATATAGAATACGTGCATCAAGAAGAAAAGAAATCGAGTGAGTCTATATGAAAATATGGATACTGACAAGATTTCAATGTCGCGGGGAAATCAATCACGCAAGTACATGGTGGATAGACGAAACGCATTCGTCGTGTGTCACGGTCCCCAGAAAAAAGAAGAAGAAAAAAGAGAGCAGCAGCCACCAAAGGGAACCTTCATTGTCAACACACCAACAGCCGTCACCTTCGACACCCAACAACAAACACAATGGGGTCAGAAGACGAGTATCGCAGCCGAGACCATCGACGTCATCGCCACGATCGAGAGGACGACGGCAGAGACCGACGCCAAGACTCGGAGCGGCGGCGCGACGACGAAGACAGCCGCCGACGACGACGACGCCATCGATCCCGAGACGGCCACGGCCACGGCCACGGCCACGGCCACGGCCACGGTCACGGCCACCGACGACAGCGCTCGCGCACTCCAGACTCATCCTTCCGTCGGCGCAGCCGCAGCCGAGAGGAAGAAAGAAGCAGACGTCACCGCCACCGTCGACGGGAGCGACGCTCCTCACGCTCCCCTTCCTCCTCCTCCTCCTCTGCCTCCCCCGACAACGACGACGACAAGAACGACAGCAACGAGGGCAAGGACAGATCGAAGAGTCTCCAACGCAGACGCGACCGACGACGTGACGACGGCGACGTGAGCAGCAGCAAAGACGGCGCTCCCTCAGGATCGGCTTCGGCCATCAGACGATCCGGACCCCTCCCCACACAACAAGACTCGTGGGCAGTCACGCAGGGCGGCGAGCCCGAGAAGCCCAAGGAGAAGGTCAACTACGGCACGACGGGTGTGCTAGCCGCGGCGTCCAACTCGGTGGCCCTGCCGGACGGCACGGTCACGACGCTCAGGTACCACGAGCCGGGGGAGGCGCGCAAGCCGCCGCCGCGCGACCGGTGGAAGCTCTTCGTCTTCAGGGACGGAGACATCGTCGACACGCTGGACCTGGGCGCCCGGACCTGCTGGCTCGTCGGGCGCGACCGAGCCGTCGTCGACCTCCTCGCCGAGCACCCCAGCATCAGCAAGCAGCACGCCGCCATACAGTTCCGGTACACCGAGAGGCGGAACGAGTTCGGCGACAAGATCGGCCGCGTCAGACCGTACCTCATCGACCTCGAGAGCGCGAACGGGTCGAGGCTCAACGGGGACAGGATCCCGGACTCGAGATACCTCGAGCTGAGGAACAAGGACATGGTGCAGTTTGGTCACAGCTCCAGAGAGTACGTCGTCATGCTGGCCCCCAGGGAATAAGTGATCGTCATCGAGTGAAGAGGGGGGTGGAAAGGGAAGGAAAGGAGCTCTTTTTTTTTAATTTTATCTTTATTTTTTGGTGTATGTGTAGAAATCCGTCTCTACCTCCCTTCCCTCTTCCTTCCCTTCTCTCTTTTTCCCCTTCTATCTTCCTCCCTGTCCGACCCGTGAGGTGCTAAAACACATGATCAAGGGGGCCAGCATCTCTGGGAACAAGACTTGAATTCTCTCTTCTTCTCCCCCCGCCCCCGGGGTCCACGATCACCATCACGGGACACGATGCTCCTCTTAGGGGGGAGGGATCATCTAAATTCATCTATCCTACATATAAGCACATGCACCTATTCTGAACCGGCTGCTTCCTGGCTGACGGTATATGTCAAAAGGGTCATCGAGCACCTCAACTTTGCTTGGTCAAGCGTGCGAACCAGACTCGGGCTCTGGATCTGGAAGAGTATCTAGAACCTATCAAACGAACCCCGTCTGCCACCCCAGGGAACCTTGTTCTTTTTTTGCGTGGGGACTGTACCTGTTCTAGAGACCTGATAGTTTTCTTCATACTATATAGCACAGCGAATTCACCCAAGTACATGATAGGCCATGCCTTCAGATGAGGTGCTTTTCGTAGCCTAGATACAACAGGTATATGTTACATGCAGAGCAGAGTTTTTAGCTCTCCGCTACATTGCATATCTGATGCAACCTACTCGCTCCTCCTTTCCCCGTCCGGGAAGAAAGAAAGAAAATCTAGTCAAGTTCCCCCCCCAAAAAACTTGTGCATATGCCTGATGGTGTCCGAGTTACATGTAATCTGTAGATATCATCATGACTCTGACGTCTACCCGTACCTACTACACCTGCGAGTCATTTCCATACATCATCACCTTGCATGTATACCACCACATGGTAATTGACCGTTCATCCGCGCTTACCGTAATGTCTCCTGTACAAACTTCACGTAAGGATGGTACAGTGAGTAGCCGGTGCGGGTACATTTGCCCGGGAGACTTGAGCTGGGGGGGGACTGAGGGGGGAAGGGGAGGAAAGGATATCATGTCATACCGAACAAAGTACGTTGTGACTTTTGATCGCAAAGATCATCTTCAACCGTTTATTATGTAATCTGTAGTATGGATAACAATACCTCGGCATAGAATTATGGAGTATCATTTGTCGGCGATTCGACTGAGAAGATGTGTGGCGGTTTTTTTTTTTTTTTTGGTGAGGTTTTGAAGATTTGAACAGATTGAAAAAAGAGCAAACATTTTAGAGAATACGCCACGTACATGCCATGGCAAATCTCCGAGGCGGTTGGATGACTAGGTGGTAAATAATGACGGTCAGCGATGGCATTGGAGAGGCGCGGATGGTGTTGATCTTGTTCTCTCACACGAGGGAGAAAGGATCAGAGGTGTTATTCGTGATATATTTGACAAACCCCTCTCATGTCAGGAACATTGCTGTCATTCACTTATATCAATTGAAAGTAGTTCTTGTTTTTTTGGAATATATCAGATTCATCATAAATCGTTCTAGACAAAAAGACATTGGAGATTTTGAACCAAATTCTCTATGTGTGACGTGTGACGGCCATAACAAAGAAGCCATGTCATTTCCTGTCTGGTCATCCCTGGACTGGAATCATGTCCCAAGTCATGCTAAATTGCGTTGCTCAAAAGAAAAGAAAGAAACTCCTGTAGAGAAAAAAAAGGGGGGGAAAGGTTTATCGAGAAAGATCTCATAAAAAAAAGTGTGTGAGAAGTGAATCAAGACTGTAGTCATGATTTAGTCGGCAGACTTGTGCATGGAGCCAGTGACGTAGTTCTCCCTGCCCAGGGCGTTGATGATGTTGATGTCGGCCGGGTCCAGAGTGAAGTCGAACGACTCGAGGTTGCTCTGGATGCGCGACGGGGTGAGGGACTTGGGGAGGACAATGTTGCCGCGAGCAGCGTTCCAGTTGAGGAGGATCTGGGCAGGGGTGCGGTTGTACTTCTTGGCGAGCTCGCCGATGATGGGGTCCTCGAGCTTGTTGCCGCGGGCCAGGGGGCTGTACGACTCGATGAGGATGCCGTTCTTGGCACAGAGGTCTACGAGGGCCTCACGCTGGCAGAAGGGGTGGACCTCGACCTGGTTGACGGTCGGCACGATCGAGGCGTTGTCGAGCAGGTGCTGGAGCTGGGAGGCGCCAAAGTTGGAGACGCCGATGGAGCGGACCTTGCCGAGACGCTTGGCCGTCTCGAGCGCGCGCCAGGTCTCGATGCGCTTCTTCTCGCACTCGCCGGGGGAGTGCACCAGGTACAGGTCGAGGTAGTCGAGGCCAAACTTGTCGAGCGAGTCGACCAGAGCGTTCATGGTGGCCTCGTAGCCGTGGTCGGCATCCCAGACCTTGGAGCAGACAAACACCTCGGATCGGGGGGTGCCGGTGCGCTCCAGCCAGCGGCGGATGGCGCGTCCGCAAGCCTCCTCGTTGGCGTAGCGGGCCGCCGAGTCGATGTGGCGGTAGCCGGCGTCGAGGGCGGCCGTGACGGCGTCCTCAGTCTCCTGACCGTTGGGGGCCTTGTACACTCCCAGGGCGACCTGGGGGATCTCGGTGTTGTCGTTGAGCCTGATGGTCTTGGAGCCGGAGCGGAGGCGGGAAGGCTGCTCCTGCGTCACCTCGACGGGCTTCTTGGTGAAGATCTGACGCTCAGGAGAGGTCTCGGGGGTGATAGCGGAGGGAGCCATTGTGGATGGTGTGTGTGTGTGTGTTGGAGAGGGGGGAAAAAGAGAAGGAAGTTGATGTTTCTGTATAGATGGGAAGAGTTGTGTATGGGTTTTGTGTATGTGCTTGTGTAAGTGGTTGTTGTTGTTGTCGTTGTTGGATGTGTTGATGATGAGAATGATTTCCTGACAACTTGGAGGGGATGAACGGCATCCTTATATATCCGTTTGACGCTCCATGAGATGACTCTGTCCTCGACCCGACACCACGTCGATTCCCCCCAATTTGATGCCATCTGCGTATCCGTACCGTACTCATACACTTGTTGATAATAATAATAATAATAATAATAGCTGCTGTCCCGTGTTAGCCGCCGTAAAGTTGAAGGCATACAAAGGTACGTACCTCGGAGTGACAAGGTTCCCAACGCCCGCCGGCATTACGTCGAGGTCGAGTATACTCAACGCCGGTTTGGGCCCCGGTATCTCAGGGGGGGGGGGGGCCGTCGTCATCGCCTATTTTCTTTGCGTTTTCTTGTATGTTCCTTCTCAGGTACACGCCAGCATCATCATGCTGTAGCACAAATTCTCGTAGGTCGTACCCCGGTGATGAGACCCACCCTCCTTTTCGATGGTGCTGTCCCTCCCCTCAACCGGATGGCCGCTACTAGGCTCTAGTACCAGCATGTTGATATCCACGCCGGTCCTCTTGGAACTAGTCTATAACAAAGCCGTCCGAGGGGTTTATCGGACGTTGTCAATTTCCGTGTCAGCCATGATATCGAAGTGATCGGGAGGGTGGCCACTGGGTTCCAGTCTTCCTTCTCCGTCTTCATCTGCCGAGTCCCGCAGAGGACGGCTGGTGGTGGTACTCGTAGGAATATGGATGGTTCACAAACCCTCGTACGAGCATTCACACGGATACGTGCTGCACCCATCCCACACCCCCAGTGTCTTGCAGCCGGGAATGGATTCCCTCTCCCTCCCTCTCTCTCGTAGTATTCCGGGGTTTTGATGGAGCATTGCTGGGGGCCGCCGATGGCTTGGCCGAAACCCCATCTCTTGGCTTCGTTTCTTGGCAGTGGAGTCTCTTTTTTTTTTTTTTCTTTTCTTTTCTTTCCCCAGTACTACTACGCCGCCGTGTACAGAGTACCTGTACTCTGCGGATGAAGAGCAGAGAGGCGCGCTTGGCGCAGCGGGTACATATACATGTCGCGGATGGTTCTGCTGATTCGCCTCGGTCAGCATCTCAAACTCGGTCGAGACGCCCTGGTACCTGAGACGGGTGTGTGGTGCGGTAGGTACATGTCTGTCCCTAGATGCGGCCCTAGGAAACCTTGGAGGGTGTACGGTTGTATGTGTACAGAGCAGCGATACCGGTATACTCGTGATACCAGTAGACTGTAACCTGCAGCAGCAGCAGAAGCGCACTCGGTACGCTCGTACGACTCGGTACGGATACGCCCACCATCAATCAGCCTCGAGCACAGCAGAGAGCCGCAAGGCGTCTGGTACACCGACGTCATGGTGGGGCTCAAACGTCAGACTGCTTCCTTGGCTCGGATACCAGACAGCGAGACAGCGGGAGTGAGAGTCGAGGAACGGCCGCAAGGAGCTTCCTCCAAGATGACTTGGCAAAGAGGATATTCGCCTTCACCATCCAATCGAGGCGTCTAGATGGCAAGAGATTAGCACAGAGATCCCCGCCCCCCCCCCTTGCCATCCTCCCCCCTCCTCCACTGCGCTGCACGCTATGGATGCAACTCACGCCGCCATGGCGCTCCAAGCAAACCACCAAAGCAAGTATACCAGGTACGCTCGCTTACACGAGTACTTGGCATGTAGCTGTACCACGTATGATTTGCTACGAGTGATTAGTATGCAGCGTGTACTCGTACATCTCTGCGAGTGCTCTCGCTCGTACGGCTTGCTGGATAATGCTGTCGAGTCTTGCATCCCTCCTGACTGATTGCCGAGTGGCGTCGAGGCCTGCGGCAGAGATGGAGGGTCGGCCGGCATGATGGCTGACAGCTGGGAATCAACATCTTGCCAAATTTCTCCTCGGATAGCGAGGTAAGATGAGAAAAATAAAGGGCTATCCGTGTGCGTAGCATCAATCATGTGCGTCGCGAGATCACGTAACCCATCAGATCGAATGGATGAGGGGAGCCGCTGACTCTCTCTGGTTTTTTTCTTCTTTTTTCTTTTCATCTCTTGATGTCAAGTTGCGTAGGGAATAACAGCATCGAGATCGAGAATGGATGGCATAATCGACGATGTGTCGTCCGTACCTTTTTTAGAAACCAAAACCACGTGGGACCAGTTTTTTTTTCTTTTTTCTTTTTTTCCCTCTCGCCTTCTTTTGCATGCTGCTTGTGGAGGAAAATCCCACGATGCGAATTGAAGGAAGTTTACGGGTGAAGGCCGGGGGAAATGGAGGCCGCCATTCAAGTACCAAGGTCCAGCGCAAGGGTAAGGCGTTCGTTCCCCACTTCTTTGTCATCATCTCCACCACTCAGGGGCAGGAATCGGTCCAGAAACAGGAAAGTACTCCCCTCTCCACTATCGATAATACAGAAGGGAAGGAGCGGGACGAATGGGCTCGACTCCGTTGCATTGTGTGTACTGTGTTGCCGACTGTGTCTTCATATGCTGTACCACGTGGTATATACGGTAGATATACAGTGTCGAATCACTCCATCACACACATGCTTCCCCATCCTGACTGGTTCAGCATCCGAGTCCGTCTGGCTGAAGACGGCCTCAGGTACCCACATACTTGTCCATCATCCATAGGCCTCATACATTCTTCCTGTACCATATACCTGTCGCTTGGCTCGGCAATGGGGACTTAAAACATCAACTGGACTTTTTCCCTGGAAAACCACCCTCGGTATGACATCGAGAGAGCCGCCGTCGATCCTTTGCTGATTCCCTCCAATTGAACAAAAGTGACACCCTCACCCTGTCTTGCGCGTATGCAGTGGTCCAACCGCCCCCCCCCCCCCCCTCTCTCTCTCTTCAACCATCCAAACCACCCTCCTTTTTCCTTCTTCTGATACTCGAACCATACATATACTCTAGAGCATGAGCCGTATCGCCTGCTTGCCTGACCTCCTATTCCCTTCCTTCACCTCTACCCCCCCTCCCCCCACCACACCTAATACTACATGTATAGTCTGCCGTGCCCAGCCAGCCTAAAAAGAACTTCCCGCTCTTGCAGTATTATGCAGTCCTACGCATGTGAAGTTGTTCAGAAAGGGAGTAGTCGGTTTCCCTCCCCAAACTGACGTCAGATTTCCTGCTATTCACATTCTTCATCCTTACAGAATGTCTTTTTTTTTTTGCACTCATACAATGATACCTCCTACGAGCGAACTCCTGTGAGCGCTCGTGCGAGCTGCTCTCCTGCTGCTTCGTATCATTACCCACAATACAAACAATATGCGTTACGCCCAATCCGGTAACCGATAGTCCCCGCCTCGTCCAAGGATGCATGAAACTCGCAAGGAAGAAACGAGAACTCTTGCGGTATCGATGGAAGAGGTATGTGTACAGGAGGGGGACGGTCCGATGAGTACTGCAAGCCCTGCTCCTGGTCAAGAGTAGACTGGTAAGTACATATATGTATGCGATGTGGTGTACGACTCGAACGCATGTCACTTAGTCACTCTCTCGAGAAGCCCGAGAAACTTTGTAATAACAAGGTGGGGAACCCCTTGCGAATGTGTTCTTCTTACCTCTTTCAAGCCGTAAGGACTAGTCGTAATACTAGTCTGGTCATATGTACGAGTATGCTCTTCTGCCAAGCTATTGGGGAGCGTTGGCTGCATGAGGGTTGGCGTCGAAGCAAGGCTTCCCATCTCCCCTTTCAAAAAGGTCGGCAGAGCGGGATTACAGCAGTGGCTCAGAGCAGCCTCTCATTCTCGATTATTTTCCGATACGTGTTCCTGGAGTGAAGAGGAGATGAGCAAGGCGGCAGCACCATGGAGGCCGTGGTTGTATAGACGCTGATACTCGTATGGGACCAGACACCTGCACACCGGCCTACATATCCCCCTCTCTTACTAGCCATCGCCGGTCTTTTCTAGCGCGGGAGCACGTTCGTTTCGTCTCCCAAACCGACTTTCAACTCCATAAACGTCTCCAGTCTTTTTCCGTCCTTCGTACAGACCCGTTATTATCCCCCATATTGCGCTTCCACTCGTGCCAGTTGATAGTCATCAGGAAAAAGTACAGGTATTTCCCGATGTCGTATCACTAGGCTCCTGCCTCCCAAGTAGAACATGATATATATTTCCCGCACCTCGGCGCTTTCAACAAAACAAAACAAACAAAAAGAGTCCATATATTTTATTGCTTCGTCTTCCTTGAAATTGGGTATGCGGCTACCCGTACCACCTAGACTACCATCGACTCTTGGCTGAAGCATCTGGCCTCCCTCCCTCCCTTAGTATGAAACTGGCCAAGCACAATGACGCAGAAAAAG